AAAGTAAAACGAATCATTTTATCGTAGAATTACAGAAGGTAAATCCTTTCAGAAATATATACGTATGCACAGTATATTTTTGTTGTATGATGCCAAATTCAAAGCGTATATGATCACATACATATATTTGTTTGTCTATTTCGACCGTTTTCCAGGACCACAATCCTACACTTTCAAAATATATTGTTGGGACGGCTTCCGAGAACTACGACGGAACCTTCAGAGGCCCTAGAGGGGTCGAATCCATTCAAAACGTAACGGAGCTTTAAAAAATATAAACGTGGTATACTACTATTGGCCAGTAGCGTAACATACCTCATTGCGGATTAGCTGAATTATAACGTCAATTTAACAAACGGTAATATCTATAGATTTCCATAATATTCTGTACATTTTGATACTTGCCCAACAAGCATTTTCTCCAGTTTTCTTCTGACTTCTTATTTACGACTTGAAGAGTTCTAACGTTCGAGTGCTCAAGTTATACACGTTGTATCAAGAATCTAAGCTCTAAATTTAATACATATGTATTCATGTATTATGAATAATTATACTTTATATTTTACATGCATTTTCTTAAATTGCATTCGGATGCTATAACCAACATATTTTATGGACTTACTTTTTCAGTTCGTAGACAGACAACTCACTAACTTTATGAGTGCTGTTGAACTATGATCGATCATAAGAAGCACATAATATTTAAAATTATTTAGATAGATAACTTACTGAACTTACCGATCCGCCCAACTATAGTCAGTCACCAAGGGACTCCCACTACTATTCTAAAGAGTTGTCAAGATAACCTTGTAATCCCCAGTCAACTACCAGTGGTCTTTGGTGGATGGCACAAACTAACATCAGAGTCAAGTAAATATAAGTTACCTCTTGTCTATTTTTCATCAGCTGTCTACATTCACATACACTGCGTTGACTCACCACTAATTTTATTTCATCATCAATTGCCCTATTTATAACTACTACATCCCTACACTTTTCCGCCCACTTCGTTAAACACTTGTCCTGCACGATTCCCTTCTTATTGCTTGTATTTGGTTGTCAACCCATATTTCGTACTATTGTAATTTAAAGTATAGCATCAATGCATTACCACCAGTCAGTAGTTTGTAACCGCCTGATATTCTTATAAAGTGGTACTTATAGAAATAGTGTTATCCAGCAGGATGTAAAACATAGAGCATCGTGTGAAATATTATATTTGATCTAAAATTAAACCTTAATGAGGCTAAAATCTCTGAAGGAGGGAGGGTAGAGCTACTGGCATTTCTGGTGAGGACGATGACCTCAACCCACCATATTTGTGGTACAAAACATCTTGCTCGCTTCGGGCTTCTGTAATTAAGCAGGATACAATCAGTTAATGATACTTAGGTTGTCCTCCTGCGCCCTCCAATCTGAGTCGTGTTTCGAACTTTATTTTGAATTTTCTATTTCGCTAAGGTAACCTATAACATAATAATAATAATAATTTATTCTCAAATAACAGTTTGTTACAAGAGGCATGCCTGTTTACAGGCAAGATCAAATTGATACAAATGATACAATATCCACTGTAGTAAATTACATAGCTGGGTTGATAATTTATAAGATATGAATGTAGATGGTTTTAATCAGCACTACAGTTGGCGCACTTCACGAAAGTTGCGTTGCGCATGTGCAACTGATGGTCAAGGATAGGTCCATTGAAGGTGGGAGTTTCTAAATGTCGCAACCTTATGTCCCTTTGGAATGTCTAAGGCTTTGAGGTTGGTGCAGGATAAAATCTTTCGTTCCATATCACAAGGGGGCTGAAAGAGGGAGCAAGTAAAAGAAAACACGAGGGGCAGAGTAGCCAATATTCATAGAGGAATGTTTAAGGTATGATTACTCAGTCTAATTTTCTTTTATTAAGGTATTTGTTAAGAAAGAGCATTTTAATAGGTTAAAGAAAATAAGTGTTAACTAGGTGTGAGTGGACATACAACTGACAAATGGAGGTGATTCGGAAAGGAGCTGAGAGTATGGGATTATGTGTGATTATAAAATGAAATATAGTGTTAGAAACAGTATTGTGATATACAATTGGCTATCTTCCTTTTATTATCGAAGCTATTAGGGCACCTTTCGTTTTGTTTGCATTATTTTTTTTCAGGTATCATAGGGTCTTGAGTAGGCTTTGTATATTAGCGCCTTGTCTAGTTTTCTTGTGATAGGATTTCTGGGTAGGAAGTGAAACCACTTCAACGTTCGTAACACGATTTAAAGAGGTATTTTGGTACGTAACATAGTAGCAGACGTTAACAATATGATCTAGTGGCTGACAGATGAAAAAAGGAAATAAAAAACATTGAAAGTTGTAGTCATTAGCATTTTCTAACACTTTACTCAGTTTGATGCAATTTGTACTCCAATGACCTGCCCTCGTTGTTCCGACTTCAACTTCCGCTACATCAGTCGAGCCCATTTCACCTTGTTATAAATCACAAATCATCGTTCTTTGTTACTGTATTCTCTTATCTGAAGGCTCTAACCACACTTCATTCTAGCAACAGCAGCTAATATGAGTTCTATCTAATAAGTTATCTTACCTTCGTCTGTTCCACTACAAATTGTTAAGCATTGTTTAAGGTTTATATTAAAATGCCTTGCTGCTCATTTGTTCCTCTTTTTCAGCATCACGCCCTCAGTGCTCAGGTATGGAGCTTCCTACGCCTGGAGCAAGCTTGACATGCGCGTCTATCACGGTCACAGCTCATACCTAGTTCCATTCATACCCACTTTTAACGATTATAAACTTCCTAAAAAATTGTGCTACATAAATACTTAGTAGGGTCAGACTTCTAGTACAATAAATTTCGGTTTGGACATGGTTTGGGTTTCTCATAATCACAACGTGGACGTGATATCATTTTTGAAAGAGATTATAAAAGCTGCACCCACAATGTTTTACTAAAACATAATACATAAAACACAAACTCTCTGACACAACTGTACGATAAAATGTCTTTTATTTTTATTGATCTCATCTATTTCATAACTCTTACTGGGAAGCATCCTCTATGGCAACCAATAAACACGCCTTTTAAATTATCTACGTATTTAACGTCTCCTTTATTTCTATTTCTTTTTTTCTTCCTTTCATTCTTTAAACTCAATTCAATATTCTTCTCAATTACACAGAACCTGGTTTGTTATTATTATTCTATTATTATTCTCTTTTTCAAGTATGGCAAATGTAATGCAAACATTATTGAAACTTGTGTATTACTGTATTTTTGAAGAGACCCGAAATGATTTCTTCACAACGCTTATGTACTCATAAGATGTTCGTGAATAATAATAATCATAATACTGTAAATTATAGACCATGAGTGTAAAAACGGCGTGTACCTCATCTAGCAGAAATATATTATCATCAATCATAACTTTTAAGTGCCTAAGACTCAACAAAAATATTCCTTACAGAATGGGATCAATATTCTTGTCCTTAGGCATCAAGCCAGATATCAAGTTTTTAGAAAATAACCAAAGATCAACAATTTTCAACCGATCTGCCGCGTACCCTTCATCCCAATAAATAAGATCTTACTGTCGGTCGTCTGGGATCATAAAATAACAGAATGCTAAATTCATTCCAAATATTGTTGGCAGTCAACTAATACAAGTCAGGTTAAAGAAGATTTAAAAGTATTAAAACATGATTACACATGTCTTGGATAAAAAATAACGTACATGAAAAATGGGGAGATTCAAGAAAGAATAGCGTAATATTATTAACACCGTAAGATAAAACCACATTTGAATCGAAATTATCGATTAATTGATTGGTTGAACCAATAACTTTAATTGGGTAGTTACGGTTAGTTAAAAGCTAATTAAGTCGAGAATACACACGCATTTCATCGGGGGATTTACTCCAACGGAAATTACAGCCAACTGATCTAGTCGCTCACTGCAATAGCATCATTAACAAATGCGACATTTGACTGAATTCGTGAAGCGTTTATTTGGTCGTTATATACACACAAAATGACAGCCTAGAGTCTGAGCAATAGTATTATCTTCATGCGCAACCTCAGGTCAATGAGTCTGCTTGCAAGTGAAAACAAACAGTTCAACATAAAAAATAAGTATTTAAAGCAGTTTCGAACTGACATACGATTAACTAATACGTATTGGTTGTCCTTGACCATGCGAGGAGTCGATGACCTGTTCGATATTCAGCGACCCAACTGCCTGGTGATTTGGCTATGGCTCAGTGTCATTTCACTGGCCCCACAATATAGAGTTTCCTGAAGTTCGCATTTATCCATTCTCTCTGGTTTGTGTTTGTGTTGTCTACGATTAACACTTACATATTCAACTTAACCAAGTAAGACGCTGTTAAAACCGTACAAATTGGAGCAGGATTTTTAACAATATCTGGGGCATTTTCCTAGAATTTATACAGTCAGCCTGTGATGACACTTGGGTTCTTTGGGTAGGTCGGTGTACTACCATCAACAATTGGCATTGGAGTTGAATCAAAAGTTTCCGACACATAAAATCTATCCAGTATATCAGTCATTTATATTATTCCTAAGGTCAGAGGCGATGCATGCCTTCAGAAATGTCACTATCAGTGCTGAGTAACTATGGAGTTACTTAACACCACAGACATCTTCCTTTATGTAGATTAAGGGATGGATTTACAGTGGTATCTCGAACCATCAATCGCTCAAAGACGACTTCTCTTCTGTTAAGACATTTGCTCGGCAACCCCTGAGATTACCAGTCAATTTTACAAAGACTACAATTGAATTAATGTAGATTGGGATTTAGCTGTTCCAGAAAAGTCCTTCATGACTGAAACGATCTGCACGGGAAATTGGGATTGTATATCCTTGTAATCTATATAAACAATCGAAAATTTACTGAAGCACCCACTACAGGAGGTAACTTAGGTCAGTCAACCTACTATTTTGGCCTACAACCGAGTACTTGTTCAATACTGATTAAACATCCTTGCCGGATTTTCTAGTTGTGCGTTGCTTGCTGTTAAATGAAGGACGAAGATGCCCTTGCAGATTTCCTGGCTCATAAAAAGCGTCTAACAGATATATTTTTCCCTAATTCGAGATCAGCTATTATTTCTCAGTGGGTTATTTTGAATATTCAGCATTAAAATTCTGACAGTGATACGAGTGCTTACGATGAATTTTGGAAATTTTTGCTGAGATTGCAGAAAATTGTCAGAAAAAGTTTTTCTGAAGGTTTGTAGAACTTCAAATAATATTTTTCAAAGGTCTTGATGGGTGTCTTTTGAGTAAGAAGTTGAAGTTGAACATTCAGACGAGCAATTATCGTCTGGAGGACTATATTAGACATAGCAATGTTTCAAGTAATAAAATTTAAATTTAGGCCTCACTAAAAAGAAGGTTCCCGCAGATCTCTTACTAGTTCAGAGCTTGATTGCTTTCATCTCATATATGACATGTACCTCGATTTTCTTCTGAAGCGCAAGGTATATTTATTTTTAAGTTGTCTTATGAAAAATACTCTTCAAAACCGTTTGGTGACTCCATACTATTTTTGTGGTGTCATCTCCATAAGAACGTTCCGGTATCGTCTGTATTAAAGCAAACCTCCAAGTGGAGGTGATATTTTCCTGAACTGTGTAAACACGTATGGTGTCTGGATGAGACTATGATCTGAATTGTCGAAAGGCTTACAAACTAAGCGTTTCAAATGATGCCATTGGGATTAGTATGTAGAGCGAAGCTAGGCTTTAAGTAAAGTATGCAACATGTTCTGACCATATTCTATGCCGCTTCTAAGCATTTAATGATTTCTCACCTATACTAAGCATTCTAGAGCTAACATCGTGTCACCGATGACATCTTTAGGACAGGTTATAAGAAAAGTGTTTATTGGTAAGGTTCTGTTACCTTTAGCAATATTTTGCCAACTAAGGTATATGAATTTTGTTTTCACGCTGTAAATTGACATATAAACTGCCGAAGTCGCGTTTAGTAGGTTGACGATCGTTGTTTATGTGTATGAAATACGCTTACCATTTATACTTAAATTAACTTTGTAAACCTAGTAGGAATCTGTCTAAACCATTAGAAGTAGTTGCAAATCTTTCTCGGGAGTTTCTTGTGATGATGTGCAATTAGATGGAGTCGGTCTACATATAGTGAAGGGTACAAAGATTCATTCCAATCTAGACCACCTTCAAGGCCGTTGCAATGCTAGTCTGGACATAGATTGGGCATAAAATTATGCTATCAGTTATGCTTAGTGCCTGTAAACGCGGTATTGTTAACTTGAGTATGTTTGGTGATTTACTGTTCTATCGACGTTCTCAAAGGGCCGTTCACTCTTATGTTAATAATACTTTAGCCATTAAGATATTTAAGTGGGTGCATTAGCGGCCCGAGCATGATAGATTTCATCCCAGTGGTTTTCATATCATATGGCATTTGCTTAATGAGATAGGATGGGGAAATCAAATCGATATTCAGTTTATAATATGGTACAGAGAAATGAATGATAAACTGGTATCTGTTGGTCCATCATTATTATGTGGGTAGAATTTTAAAAACTACACATCTCAGTAGCGTGAAAAGTCACCAAACATAAATGAAAATATAAATCCGTGGCGATCACTTTTTAGTTCATTTTTGAACTGGTTGTTTGGATCTTCCCTGAGTGAACATCAACTTTGGGACACAGGTACATCCAGCTAACGAGTCTCAAATAAGACGAAACACGCGTCCTGGATTTCATAGCTAGTCACTATCCATCTCTGCTTATGATGATCACGCCTTAGTTTTCCATTTGGTTCTTCATTAAAATAAGATGCGCGTATTATCTGAAAAGTAGCCTTAGTTTTTTCCCACCTAATTAAAGTACAGTTTTGAATATATAGTATTCTTATTTATTTATTGATTTTGCGACACTTTCCTGTTTTATTCACCATATTATTTCGCTCTGTTTTATATTGTTTTAGTCCCATTTTGTGCCAAACGTTTTATAATATAAAGATAGGAATAACCGTTCATTTGTAATCTAATATTTCTTACCGTCATTGATAAATGGTACTAGATAATAATCTCATCTACAGTAAAATTTAAAGTAGGTTAGCTATTTAGTATGTTTAGACTATACTAATGTCATCAAGACTAATTAAATTTACTGAGTTATATAGTGAAGTCATCAAAACACAACCTTGTTTCAGTTAATAACAAATCCAAACAAACATTAAGACAACACTGACTTCGGAAAACGTGACGTTTTGTTTTAAATATTCTTACAATGGCATTGAGGATGTTTAGAAGAAGGAATTTTGCCTGTATTTTCAGTTAACTGTATTGTGTTAGATGCTTTTAGTTAGTTTTAGTAAATCTAAACAAAAGATTTGAATTTTTCGTATTTTAGTTTAGCCCATACAACGTTTACTTAGTTAGGGACGGCCAAACCAGAACGTGGTATCAGTCATTGAGGTCACTAATGTCTAGATGCAGCCATTTTGGTAGATGCAGACTACTTAGTTGGGGTCCGCGTGACTTCATAGCCAATGTTTGGAGACTCTGGGTGACATGGCTCAGAATCAGTCACAATGACATAGGTGTATACACCCTCTGTCTTCCCTGAGATTAAAATTACTTTATACCTTTCTTCCTAATTCTTTCTTCTTGTATTATATCCTTACACACAATCTTTCTTTTATATATTGCCATCATTGAAATAACTACCCTTATCAATTTGGTGTTCATCTTGTGTTGATGAGGTATGGCAACTTGGACTGATGCATATATGTGCCTGGTCCTACGTTGTAGCTGACTGACTGACTAACGACGTTTGCATTTATGTACTAGGCTTTGAGGCACACAGTTTGTGTAGTACCCAACTAAAGTAATGGGATCGGTGTTCAAACATGTGAGTGACTGGTTAGAAGGCTAGTGCTTCGACCACCAAGCCTCTGCGTTTCTTCTAAAAGGATATTCATGACGAAATTATAGTATGGAGTCAGCATTATTAATTAAAGCCATCCGACTCAAATATTTCGATTGAGAACAACTGGAGGGAATTCCTTCTAACATCTGTAACTTAAACTATCATTTCAGCCAAGAACTGTGGCTTTTTCCTGGTTGATATTTGTTAAAGCTATCTTAAGTATATTAGAAGTAAAGCAGCTCTATCAATGTCTAGTTAGGCAAGCTATATAATTGTTGCAGTCAAGTGTCCAGGTATATGTTCTTATATTTGGTTTCTAATCATATCTTTCTGTAGCCGATTGCCAGTACCACTAACCGGTTCTCAATTTAAGTCTCAACATACCAAATTACAGCTGCAAGTTTGTCTGAATCGTCTAGAGTTTTGATTACTACACATAACTGCTGTAAAAACGACCCAACAAGCCGTCTTTCTCGGCTGCACTTCCTTAACAGCCAGATTTTTTCGTTACTGCGAGCAAAGATTCGATGGAAGTATTAGTAATCTACCATATTAATTTCTTTTTCCAATCGTCTGCAACATTTAATTACATTTGAGGAGTAATCATAATCAATTATATCTGTTGGTGATAAATGGTTACATTTATGATATTTTGTATCTGTATTTATTCAACAAATTATTGGACAACTAATGTCAAGTACTACTCAGCTTAATATATCCGAGTCCGAATACTAATCAGTGTAAATCATTTCAAAGTTAGTGTATTCAGACACCAGTTTGATTTATTTTTACTTTCAAATAAATCCCTATTTAATACCTCCGTATTCCTATTCCCATTCTTCGATTCATAGTTTTCTTGTTGAAGTACCAAAATATTTAGCAGTAAGAACAGCTGTAATCTTTGTACTCTTAACAGGTTTAAAGGATTTTTTAATACCGCTCATTACCACTGTATTCTCCGTTTCTTTTGTTATCACATCATGGATATTGAAATATTCGGAATACAGTTTAAATCGCAATTTCAACAGACTGCAGTTGTCAGTTCGTTAGGTCATATAGTTAACACCCACTGCATTAGTGGGGTTTGTTTTTAAGCAATTCTTTACCGAGAGGGTGGGAAGAAAATTGTGAAGATAATGATGGGGCTGACGGTCTTGAACAATCGTTAGTCAAGTACTATTTCAAAGGAGCAGATGTTTAACAGTTCTTTTATCTTCACTTATTGTGCGATTGTTGGAAGATCTAGTCAATTATTGATGATGATTGTAGATACACGACTATCTAAGTCTTGATAATTAAAGTACAGTATTAAGAAAGATTCTGGTTTGTGTTGGGAAATTATTCATATTACACACAGCAAAGCCAACACCAAAACTTTTCCTTCAAACTTAAAGTTATTGCTAGTTACTGAAACTGTAATGCTCACTGTTTGTGGTCTTATCGATGTTCAGTCAAGTTTCTTAGTCCGGTAGAATATACCGTTAAGTAGATCCAACCTGCTGGATTGGGACTTGGTACTCATCTATTTCTGAACTTCAGTTATAACCTAGAGACCTGAGAATATCTCTCCTATATTACTAAATTCAGTCACAAGAGAATCGTCTTAAACAATAATCTTCTGTAATATGTTCCAAATGCCTCAGGAAACCTCTCAACTAGTCTGAAATAAATGAGCTTTGTTTTCGTCTAACATGCAAGATTAATTTATTACTTTTCACATTCGTTGTTAGGTTAGTCCACAGCTACTTTGATTTGTTTTTCACGATTCAAGGCTTTTTTAGTATGGGAAAATATCGAACAACTAAGTGGGGTAGTTTTACACACTTGTATGACTAAAATAGAAAGCTTTTCAAACTAGAAATGATCCGTCTTCACTTTACTAAGTTTTGGGTCTTCATTTATTCCTTATCGGTTTTTCTTCAGAAAAGGCATTGATAATTTCACCCAGAGTTGTTCGCAAATATTTAGTAGAAATCTTTATTCTAATTTTTTTTTCATGGCCACACATTTTATTTGATAAGTATCTTTATATTTTAACTATCGATTAGTTCGCTCGAATTGTGAAACTTAGAAGAGATCAAAGTGTTCTACCAATCGCTAACTTTAGAACAGAATTATTATCTACACTATCTAAACACCAAGTTGTGATAGTTGCTGGTGATACTGGTTGTGGAAAGTCAACACAAGTACCACAGTACCTATATTATGGTGAATCGAACTCAAATGATACACCTGGACCTAACTCCTATCAAAATATTGCTGTTACTCAACCTCGTCGCATCGCGTGTATTAGTTTGGCCGCACGTGTAAGTACTGAGATGTTGAATGAAAGAGGCTCCAAGGTTGGATATCAAGTAAGTTGGGATGAGATTTTTAAAAATACTTTCTAGTTGTCATGATACTTTAAATTTTAATAAACAGGACTTACCTTTTATAGAACTAGTTTAAAGTTATATGTCCTGTTCTCAAATGATTTTTAATAGCTGTACTGAGATTCAGGTGCATTCACTTAACGTGCCCCATGTATAGGGAAGGGATTCATATCTTGGATTCCACTTCTATCAATAATCCAAATATCACAAAGCTTGTAACTTAGAGGCGATGTCGGGGCACCTGTTCAAGATGAATATACGCAAACAAAAATTTATCAAAGTATAATCTTGAATACTAGCAACGGGAAACACAAACATATAAATTCACTGTTCTCCTGATACATTCTTGTTGAATAAAGATTTTGACAAATTTTAAAAGATCGGTTTTCGGGTTTTAACTTTTCTTACTCATTTTGAATAATATGATTTGCAGTGTATAAAGTCTAATATACCAATTACAACTGATGTGGACTGCCAAGTTCATATCTGATTGGAAATGCTAATGTAAATGTATATCACCCAGTGTATGGTTTCATATTAAATGTAACGTACTTTGCAGATTTCCCTACTAGTGACTACCAAAATAATATCATAACTTTCCTGAAGATAATATCTTGATGTATGTATCAAGAATCAGATCTTTTTGATCTGATATTATGGAAACCTATGAATAAAAAGGACAGTAATTGATGACTTTAATTGTCATCAATTTTCAGAGCGGAATTAAATTTGTTTTCATCTTATTGTATAAATGTATGAATTTATTCTACTAACAAGATACGCTTATATTTTTCTGAATAATATTTTATTAGGTCCGTTTTGAACGAAGTCGAACTAAGGCTACACGAATTCTTTTTCTCACAGAAGGTTTATTGTTACGTCAAATGCAGATGGATCCATTTCTGAGCGACTATGATGTCATCGTTCTTGATGAAGTAAGTAAGGAGATTATATGTTTAAATATGAAATTTGTTCCATGTAATGCTTTGAATAAACTTATAAAACTAAAGATAAATTAGGCGAATTGTATAATTTGAAAAGGAAATTTGTGTTGATTTAGATAAATCCAAGCATGAAATTTTTTTTACTAGTACTATGGATTTTCTTCACAAGTAGTTACCAACTTGTCAACATAATTTGGTGAAATCTCCGTATATTATTTAACTGTGAGTTATATACTAAATTATTTAATCCGTTTGAATTTTAGCATTCGGTGGGATGAACAGATGGCAGGAATTTCACACATAAGTTACCTAAGTAAAATTTGTGTCTTATGGATAAATATTTTAACTATCTTATAGAGGACTAATAGAGCGGGAATTTTATTTACTTAAGAATTTCTGTTGATCGTTCCCAAACACTGTGGTATCATATCATTTAACCTTTTCAAATCCACTCTTTGATTGATGTGGTACTTTCAAGATATAATTTTCTTTACCATGTAGTCACCTCTAAAAATAGTATTATTTGATCTATAACAGCCTCAATACTTTTTACTGAATATCAAACAAATATCTTCCTTTCATCATCAACCTTCTAAAACAAACGAGCTAATCATCCTCAAAAGTCAAGCATGTTTCAGAAGCTGAAATCAGGTGAATGAAATTTGACGGATCCAACTTAATGGGCGAGTACAGACTAGTTTATTAGGGTTTTTATAATTATTTTTTGACGGTAAAATACGTCTTTTAGTTGTACAAACTGAAGTAGGTGAAAAGGGGTAAGTTTCGGACTAAGGAATTAAAAATTAAGTCCTTCGACTATTCAGTTACAGTTTCTCAAGAAGTCATTTCCGGAGCTCTAGAACTTACTAAAAATTAATATTTCACTGGTCAGTGTAGCCAGAGTACACATCAGGAAAAACACCAAAAAATCCTATCTCGTAGAAACTATTCTTCGGATAATTTATAATGGTTGACAACTGATGAAATTCTGAAAATTGCGATATACTTTCGAAGTGTTCTGGCTTGAATATATTAAAAATTAATGGATTTATCTAAAATAGACTCGGTTTTAGGCATTTATTGAACAGAAGCTCAACCAGAAATTCAGACCTTAAATAACAAAATTTTCGAATAAATTCCCAAATTCAAACAATCAAGCCAGTTGTTAACATAGTTAACTGTAGCAGAAATGTAATTCTTGAAACAAAGATTTCTTGAATTCTGGTTGAAAAATTTCCACAAATTAGTTCAGCTTGTTTAGTCTCATTATTATTTCGTGAACATCAACATGTGTTATATAAGTTTCAGAATTTATTATGAGCAGGTTTTAGTTGGTAAAATGATAAATATTTTGTTGGTTGATAAAGGATGCAATCATCTACGTGGATCCCCAAGCGAACTGGCTCTAGAATCTGATTTAGCTGGTCAAGAAAATTAAATATTTCCCATGGCACACACAATATATCAGTACAAAAAATGATCATGAAATATAATTTGAAACGTAAGCGATCATACGGGTTTTTTAGAAATCATTCACCAGCCAGTGAAATTAAGAGCTGGCTATTAAGCTTAACGTTTGCCCGTCATATGAAGATAAAATGTATCTAGAGTTTCTTCATGAAAATCCGAAGCAAGTTATGAATACTAAAACTGTTCGGCGTACTTCATACACTAATTTGTTATATTCTCTGAAAATACTCTAGTTGTCCTCTTTCATTTCACATTGAATATTATCAAGAGTACAATCATACAGTAACAGTGCCGACTCATTAAGTCGTTTTTCTTGAGTGAGGTTGGTATTGTCTTTACCATCAATTTGACGATAAGGTAACTGTTTTGCTCCAGACATGACAATCAAGCAATAGGAAAATCATATCTTATTGAGTTGGCTTTCTCTCTGTATTGCTATCTTTTCCTTTTGGTCTAGAGTTTTTTTCCTACCGAAATTCGACAGTTTGTGAATGATTTCAAAATATTTTTGATCAAACTATCTTGACATTGTTATCGTCCAACTCATATTAAGTTTTCCATTTGGATTAGAACTTTTATTGGACTGTTTTATTTGGCAGCTTTCAGCGGATAATTCACGTATACTGCGATGAAATAGTTAAGAGGGATTTGTTTATTTTCGATGTATATTTTTAATGCTTGAATATATAATGATTTTTATGTATCTGTATCTAATAAATGGTTGTAGACGAAATCCCAATTGATACTCTGACTACTTTTTTGTTTAATTAGTAGTCAACTTCAACACTAGAAATAAAAAAGTAAAATTATTTGCCTTTTGTACAAAATTTGTCTAGTGAGATATCATTTTTTCATAGTTCTCCATGTTTAATTGTGGGGCTAATTTAAACATAATGGTAGCTGATTTTTATATTGTCTAGTTTTAGTGATGACTTTCATTAATTTTAAATGTGACCACTAATTCAAATAACTGGACATCGCAATACACTTCGTCTTTCCACTTGAATAACGCACCCAAGGTCAGTCGAATGCAGAGGATTATCTTGGGTTCCCGCGAGATTTATCTACAAGTGCTTATAGACAGCAAATGGTTCTATAGTAAATAGTAAGTGGCTTTGATTAAGGAACTCACATTCATGCTGATAAACTCAGCAACAGCGGTCAGCTCTCAAAACAGACAAGCAAAAGTCCCATACTAGGATGAAATAGCCGTCTAGTGGTTATTTAACTAGGATTAGTCCAGGATGTTGATAAGGAAACTGACAATTGTTTTAGTTTTGGTGATTTCCCTGTTTTATATCTACTACCTAGGTAAAACCTCCAGTTCACTTGTGAATTATTTTTAGTCGATCTTTATATATAAATACCGTTTAGTATCAATTTTCCTATCCCTATGTTAAACGACCTTTCAAATTTACAGGTGACACGCTTTAGACATATTTAAGCCGTAATCATTGTAAATATACACTATTTTGGTGTATAACGTCTAATTCACTTACAAATTATTTTTGTATTTCTAATTCTGGCTATTACAATACAATAATTATGGATTGAAAACTGTAGAGCCTAAGTTTATAGGTGTCAATGCTAAGGTTAGACTTGATAGTTTTAAATAAATTGAGCTTTAGGAAGAAAAGTTACCAGTTAATATATGTTTTGGTATATTCCAATGAGTAGAAAAATTGTATTTCTGATGTTTTGTGACTTCATATAAGCCACTCCTTTAGAGCCTGACGGTGAAGTTATTGAAAACAATTGTTCTCACAAATAGCCCTTGTCTTTTGAAATAAATATCAATCCGGTAACTCATAATCTTATTCCTAATCCTTATGCCTGTCTGAAAGGGTTTATAAATAAGACAAAGGACTTCATATTGTATCCTTCCACGATCCATCTAATTATTTACATATAGATCGTTCGAATTGATAAGATTTTGTTTTCATTGAATTCATAAACCATAGACCATCGAAAACCTGGAAGCACTAGGTGGTTGAAGGTAGACATTAACACTGTTGGATACCGACTCAGTGGTCGTGTGCTTAAGCGTTCGCGCGAGATCATAGGCCCTGGCTTCAAGTCCCGCGTGCGGGATCGTGGATGCGCACTTTTGAGGAGTTACAGGTTAGGGCGAAACGACCGTCCAGTGCTTCCAGGTTTTCGATGGTAGTCCAACATTGATCAGCCCTTGATTTCAATGAAATTCAACAATCTCCACAACCTCATACTCAAAAGATTTGATTTGTAATGGAGAAAATTCCAACTTTTGGTCAATTTGACACAATATGAAATTAGCTTAGTACCTGTATCTTTCTGCTATAGTATAGTATATCTGATTCGACGAAAAACTTTGTCTCCTAAATGACGATGTTCACAGCTGATTGTATCTTCTCTTATTTCCTTCTTTTGGTGTTTATTAGCCATCATTGCGCTTAATTCATTTCATTTCCTAACTCTTCTTAATCATTGTATGACTTTAAATCTAGTAAATAGAGCTTTACTTTCTCGTTTCCTGTTTTTGTCAATCATCTGATTGTAAGCACGATGGAAAACTAAGTAAAGGCCCTACCTTTCTTTTTTCTTACTACTAACACTCCCCGGCGTAATGTAAGAAAAATATATATATATGACAGGATTAATAACACTAAAATATTATTCCTTCCACAGGTACATGAACGTCACTGGCAAACTGATTGTTTATTAGGACTTGTTAAATGTCTTATAGTTGTCCGTCCAAAACTTCGTGTAGTTCTGATGTCAGCTACCATAAATGTGAACACATTTGCTAAATTTTTTAATGATTGCCCAATTATACAGGTAAATTTTTTTTACTTTCGTATTAACTTATGGCATAAAATGATTTAGAAAGAAATAATAGTGAAAATCTATGTAGAACAGACTGATGGTTTTGATGTTCATTCATTGTTATCATAGGACCTGGGAAGAATGTGTATCGATACGTATCGTCATACTTCATATCAGCACGATGTGCGCATCGTAGGAAATTTTCTGTATTATATATAAAAAGAAAGAGATCGAGATCTACATATGAGAAATACAGTACGAATAAATACTATAGATATGAGAGTGAAACTTAAGGAGTGACACTCAACTCATAATTTAAAAGAAGAAAAAGATAAAGAATAAATGCAACTGTGTCATTATGACCAATGTTGCACCATGATTTCAATAGTTGAATAATGTCTTATCCCGATTGTTTGATAATTGATGTTTCCTTTCCATATTAGAATCTATGCTTAGGGTAATATTCATATGGAAGTTTAAAAGTGAAATTTATATTTGCCTGTTTGTAACACTTTTGACTTCATGTTCTCAGGAGCTTGAATGCAATTTACTTTGGTCATTTTAATTCAAAGTTGTTAGAACATGAAGGTGAATTTTCTAATGTAAATCTAAGTAATTCCCTTTCATGTTAAGCTTGCTTCTGACTTCTATCTTAGGTACTAAACTATCCAGTTAAGAGAAAAATAACTACTGAAATGACTATTGTTTAAAATTCTATTCATGACGTCTTGAGTGGGTTATGGATTCCTAAAAAAGTTAAGAAATAAGAAGTTAGTTTATTTCTTGAAGAATTAGAGTTTTTAAACTTGTAAGTAAGCGTAAGGTTGCTGGTGATCTCATCTCTACGTTCTTTTAAAATTGTTTCCACAGTGAGTTTTAAGAGAAGCGTTTTGCTAAGCCAGGTATTGTGTTTCTGAATTCCATACATTGTGATGCATAAACTGGGACGCTACACATTTAGTTAACATTCAACATAGAAACCTTATGAACATGTCCGTGAAGAATTCGTTTAGTTCATGCGTTTTCGAATCTTTGTTCTTCATACAAAGAACTTTATGAGTGTTCTTTCCTGCAAACTGAGTCACTATTTCAAAAAATCTAATGAATCCGCTCTCATTACCCTATCTCTTTGCAATTTATAATCATTTATCTTAGGTTTTATCCAGTAAACATTTTCTGTTTGCATATGCTTCCTCTTTGTTCACTTTACACTGGCTTGTCTCCTTATTATCCCTACTTTATATATCTTAACACGACCGTTTGGGATGATTTCCCTTGCTCATTTTTCAGTGTTGATTTCTTTAGTCTGTTAACCAAATATCCGAGATAACATTTTGCTCGCAAAATTTTGTGTATGACTAAGCATGAATTATTAATAGGTGCCTGGACGTCTTTACCCCATCGATTTGCACTACATTCCACTCAGTCCAGTTGAAATTGCCAACACAACTGACAGAATTGATCCTGCGCCGTATATTCGTTTACTAAGACGAATAGACGTAACATATCCCGCTACTGAACGAGGCGATCTTTTGATCTTTTTGTCTGGAATGGCTGATATTCAAGTGAGTTATTATGTTGTTTACCTTCTCATTTCATTTTTCGCGTAATTACAGGTGACAACCATATTAAAAGCTGCTATCCATTTGATCAAAAGTTATATCAAGCAAATATTAAGGAGATAGAGAATTCATTTTATCATCCATATTTTTATTCTGTCGGTAACATCATATCAGTATCCCAGTGGCCTGCTATCACCAACTCAATGCTTACTATAAGATTATTTTAGTTTGACACGGTAGCCATATAAAGTTTGATTTATACGAGAACACGAACTACTCATAAGTAGTTTAAAACGAAATGAAAAGTTATTAGATTGTAAGGTAATAAAAGCTGTGAAATTTCTGAAAATTCATGCTATAATATATGATTTGCGAACGATAACCAGGCTAAGTACCTCCACAACTAAATTGTTACTTTATGCGTAAGGTTTTTGACCTATAAAAGTTCGATTTTATTGACATTATATTGAATGTAGATATAATTAAATAAACTGTGCCTTTCCAATCAATATTTTTGCTCATTTTAGTGACTTTTAAGTTCTTTTCATTTAGAGGTCAAATTTCATCGAAGTATCTTTTGGTTGTTTCAGATATCATCCTTACTTTAGTTCAGCTAAGCCAAAAATTATTTATTTATTACTTTATTGGCAGTTAGAAAAAATAATCTAGAAACGATAATGCGAAGTCTTACGTCTTACTTTTTCTTATCTATGTTTCTCATTCTGTTTTTTTCTAATGTCCAAGCTGTGATAATGTTTTATCTATCATGTTTTTTTAGAATAACACGTTTCCAACTTAATTCTTCTGTTTTTCTATTTTGTTGCGAAAGGCAATAATGGAACCAGCTAAAGCATATGCTGAAGAAACAAAACGATGGATTATTTTACCATTGCACAGTGCATTATCTGCATCAGATCAAGAGAAAGTTTTTCATGTTGCTCCAGACTGTGTACGTAAATGTATTTTATCAACAAATATCGCCGAAACCTCTCTAACTATAGATGGAATAAGGTGTGTCTCATATATTGAAAATTGGTAATTATTATAAACTGTTGTGTCTCGTATCATTTGTGCGACTATAATTCGACAGTCTACTTTTTACAAACATAAATAAGCAGATCAGTCTTGAATTAACTACATTCTATCTATCGTATATAAACGATCTTAATTATATAACCACTTTTTCTGTACTGTTTTCGAAAGTATCTCTGAATGATTTATTTCTGAGATAGCTGCCCTTTAAATTAATTAGAAATTATTCATTTCAATTGTCACTTATTATTGACTGAATCGAGTTGATAGGGGTCCATGTAGTTAAGATGTTTCGCTTTGAAGTCCCCAATTATGAACTTAGCCTTTTATGTTTGTGTTCTACCCATAATTACTGGAGACAAACAAAGTACAGCTCTCGATCCAAAATTTCACTTCTAATGAGGCCACACTGAAGCTTTGAAAATTGGTCCATGTGTACACTTCCGCAAGTTGTGAGGTTTCAAAACATTGAATTATTGATAGGAAGAGTTTGCACTTGAATTGAATTCCAAGAGGTTTATTCATGGAGAAGCTTTCATAAATGCACAAAAAGTCATCGAATAATTTTGGCATAGAAAACATAATCCACCGGAAACATTCACTTAAACTATACATTTTTAGATTATATAGTGTCCTCATTACTTTCAGTGCTATTCTCAACGTTGTCATAGATTTGAATTGTCTCTTAATATATGTGATTCTTTGTTTTTTTTAAAAAACAAACACAAATTTCGTTCTTAAAGATTTGTAGCTGATTCCGGCAAAGTCAAAGAATTGAGTTGGGATTCTAAAGCACGAATGCGTTGCTTAAAAGAATTTTCAATATCTAAAGCAAGTGCTAATCAACGTAAAGGTCGTGCTGGTCGTACAGGTCCTGGTGTTTGTTATCGTTTCTATACTCAAGAAGACTATGATAATTTTGAGGTAAACGAACTAAACTGATATTTTCTTTGATTTATTCCATTTTGTAGTGTCTTGAAATAATAATAAGTACGTTTTTATGCAGTCTATGAAACAATGACTTAGTCGTTAAAGAACGTGACTTTTAACCAGTGGGTTTCTAGTTTTACTTGTATTACGTCTACTTTGGTCTGGGTAGGCAGTTGGTAACACCAACTCACACACATAAAAAGGTGTAACTCAAAGCTGATTACATGGACCTGATATCTACCTATACAGTTTGTGGAATGAATTGCTTATCATTTTATCGTGAATTTTGTGTTATCATGCATAACTAAATTCAGTGCATTGTAACTAATACGTTTTGCGTTGTTAAAATACCAAACAAAGTAGTAGTCAATAGGTAATGCAAAGTAATGTTGTTGGCGGAATAGGCTTTTCCTCGGAATAAATAATACATTTATGTATGAGGTATTAATGTGGAAGTAAACATAATTACGTGTCATTTGGCACATAAGCGATTGCTGAATACACGTTTCTTCAGTCGCCCATGCACCAAAGACATGAATGTCAATCTTAATTCTTGCCTCATTATTTCATGTCGCTTTTAAACAGAATACTGATGAGAAATCCTAGATTATTTTGCAACGCTCGACATAGATTGATGACTTTATTTATTTATGGAATGTTTTTTTCTTATTCAACAATTAAGTGTCAGGGTATGTGTAAGTCTATATAAAAGCTAAGGAAGAACCGAAATATGTTTATGGAATTGGGACATTTGGTAAATTTTAAACACGGGCCTATTCATGTTCTTTAATTTGATTGATCGAACTCGTAAACATTACCATTTTCATATCTCTTTTATAAGTTTCCAGGACGTTAAGGTCACTTATAATTCAATTAATAACTTCGAATTCTTATCGTTAAAATAACTTCAAAGTTAAGCTCCTGTTGTATTTCCCCTTTTTTATTTGCTTGGAATTCGTAGATTGGTGATAGTCTGTAAGTCAAACAAGTAGTTAGCATCGTAACCTCTCTATGCTTACACTTAAAAATATGAGGCGGTTATCTAAAATTGATTTTGAGTTATTCAGTTGAAAATCGTTCACCCTAAATGCAGTTGAATTTCACTACTGAAAGTTTTCAATCATATTTCATGTATTTAAAGACTGGAGAAATTATTGACATTTTGTATCACTTATGTCCTCCATTTGTTTTATTTCTAGGCATTTAGTACCCCGGAAATTCGTCGTGTTCCTTTAGAAACACTTGTTTTACAAATGATGGTCATGGGTTTACCAGATATAAAAAAATTCCCTTTCATTGACCCACCTGAAATGAAATGCATTGATGAAGCACTTGATATATTAAAGGTATGCTTAGCTTATGTGTAGTTAGTTTATTGAATAATAAGTCAAATTAATTATCCCAGCAATTATCATAGTAAGGTTTTAATTAAAATATTTTTCCAGTACCATTCATAATCGTTGAAGTATCATCTAAAGTCTATTGTAATGTATTTTTACTGCATTCACACATTATATTTCTTAATTTTAAAAACAGTTATAGTCTGTTCGATCTGTCCCATCTTGATATAATTGTTGCCTTTAGTGTTAACGGTTTACAGGGAATCCAGTAAGACTTGATAGTTAAGAGAATGCATGGTAGCTTGTTAAGAGTTTTATCTGGTCAACATATCTCTTGTATTTGTGAGAATTAAAGCGATGATTAAAAAACGGATTCTAATCGAACCTCTACAATCTATTTGATAAATTACCCAGTGTTTAAAAAAGTGAATCCTGGTTGTAAAGCTCATTAAGAGGAGGAATATTGATTTTCATCTATACCTTCCTGACAGTTTTTTAAATGTTATAAGGTATGTGTTTATAATTCTACCAGTAGCTGCTATCAGTTATCTTCTGCTTTTTACGTGGTTTGTACTACACATGAATATTAGTTGGAAATGGCATCCAGAAACAAAGATTGCTAAACAGATGCTTTTATTTGTTCTAAATGAATGAGTTAAACTCTATTCTTTTCATTAAATAATAGTTGAGTTCGATATATATATATATATATATATATATATATATATATATATATATACACTCAGTCACACAGTTTGTTTGGCCTTACTAACTTAAGCTGGAGAAAAGTTCAGATTTCTACTAAAAAAAAAAGTATATTGCGCATCAGTATCAACTTTAATGTGAAACATATCCCCTGACGTCAAAATCTATTCTTAATTTGCTAATAATTCGATCATAGGCATATTCATGGTCTTACTGTTATTTAGTAGGTCTGGTTAGCGTTTTTTTTCTGATTAGCGTTTTTAGGTCTACCGAGTGAATAATTCTAAAGTTAGACATATAGCACAAGATAAAGGCGCTAAGACGATTAGTGACGCCATAAGCCTTCATCTACTGAACCGACTATTGCTTACTCCCACATCTTATGTCGGCTATAACAGGGTTGGATTGGAAGGAGGTTAATGATGATTCATGCAAAATAGCGCGTCAGTTCAACAGACTGTTAGACTGACCTATCCGAGGAAATGCATATATTTAGGTTGGAGATCCTAAGTGTCATACAGTAATACAGACATTCGTTGTTTAACTTCCTCTGGATCTTCAATTTTGACACTAATTCACATTTAACCCTTTCCGATTTCATTCCTTCTCTAAGAACTATATTTTCTGTCTGTTTACTTTACTATCAGCATTACTAATATAGTTAAGATTATTTTACTTCTCACTTTTTCAATTCCCTCTCATTGTACTAATGTTAAAGTATGGTGAATCGCGTCAATTCACATTTGTGTCAAGTTTTCTATGCTGGTTATGACCGATTGATTAAATTCTCACGTAATATTTTCCAGTGTAGTAGCATACAGCACCTTTATTAAAAAAGATCGGTAGTGTCATGTAATTTTGATTCTTTTTAAGCCTCTTTATTCTACCATCGTTCATTTTGTTGTTATCAGAATTGCCAGAAGTGAATGCTAGAGGTATAGATGTGTTGCCGAATATTAAACCTTTTGGCTTTCATTCTGAACATGGTACAAGCTAATCAGATCCTAATTAAGTCAGTTGGTGATCATCATCCACTATTATTTTAGATATTTCACATTATCCGATAAATAGTTACTAACCTAAGATCGATAAAGATTGTAACCACTTTCATCTTTGAAGGTATACCGTTGAAAATAGTCAAGACGTCTGTGTGTTTAGATTATTCTAAATATCGACTCGAGTATGGCAGGCAAGATAAGTATTCGTCTAGAATTAATTTAATGTAGTATATACCACTATGAGGATACTCACAACTCTGTTGAGACTTCCTTCTGTTAACAAAATTTATTTATACGATAATTGTAGAATTAGATGATCCGCAATTAAAAATATTAAGCAGATTTTCGTATATATCACCAGTATTTTCGTAAGATTGTTTGCGATTGACATCTGGAAATAGATCAGTAATTCTTGATTTATAAAGTAGCACATTGAAACAAAGCATCATTTAAATATCACTGATGAGTTTTATATACGTTTTGTTGATTGACTTCATACTGTTTAACTGACTGAATTCAGTAATCAGAAATTCCCTAATTAGGTTTCGTGTTGGGTTAGCACTGATCAGCAAGGCATATCTGCAATCTTAAGGGAATTAATGACCTTGCAGAGAATCAAACCTACATCGCCTATTACATACATTACCAGTGAGCTATTCAGGTCTCTACTAATCAATCTCTTATGAGACTATGATGTTCAAAAGAATTGATCACCCTGTAATAATCTATATCACTGATAATCTATTTAATCTCGTTTTGACCTTCACTTTTTTTCATATTGAAACATTGCACGTGATTATTTTTTGTTTAATTTTCATACTACTATGGAATTCACTAACTTACATTGTGATTTCCTCGTGTTTATCATCTGTTCACAGCCTTCTTTTGGATCAATTTTCCATCGCGTATTTTACATCACCGCTATTTATTTCTTATTATATGTGTTCAAGATATTTTCTTAAGGTTAACCGATTTATAAGCTCTCATTTTTGTGCTAATGTTAAGCAGTTATTTGGCTAACTATTACATTTCATATTATGATGTTATAAAACACTTTTCTAGTTGCATATTTTAGCTGTTTCATAAGACAGACTGGGTGTAATTTTTAGGCACAAAAAAAGTGAGCTTTAAAGCTTCTTGCTGATCATCTTGAAATATTTAACAGTGGTTTTTATTATGTCCACTTATTTACTGTATTTTTCTCACACAGTTGGTACTCACAGCGTTAATTCCTATTTTTCTACAGCCTCTAGTTGCAAACCGAGATTATTATTCACAATTACGTTTATTTATTAACATGTATAACCTATGTAAGTAAACATGTAAAATACCAGGCTACATTATGTTACAATTTATAAATCGTAATAGGCACACAGTTAAGAGATGTTCTCTACAGAATTAAGCGTAATCCAATCATAGTTCATCAATTTTTTTAGTTTTTGATTAGTAATGGATTTACCATTAATTAGCTGATAAAAGAGAGATTGCTATTAATTTTGTGTTAAATTGATGTTTTACAAAGTGATATAAATTAGTTAAAAAATAACTTTCTGAGTTTTGTATTTTTCTCTATCCACATCTACGCAGCATCTCCCTCTTCTTGAACCATAAGTAGTTGCCCACATGGGTTTGTACAGCATCAAATTCCTTGTGGCCATCTCAGAAATGGCTTTGATTTCCTCTCGAGTGTCATTATAACTTTTATTTGTGAATCAGTTGACATATACAACGTCATAGTAGAGTTTCTACTAACTTTTGTGCGGTATTCCTTTGTGGTGTTATAAATGATCAGGATAGCATATCAGTGGCACACCTCCAACTTCGACCGCTTAAATTATACATTCAACCCTGGTTGAAATGATTTATGGTTCGCATATCGGTTATGCATTATGGTAAACACATAATGACACTGGCTGACCATTTTGGATTTTTACACAATACCTACTTTTTAAATTGAGATTACTAACATCTTTCATCATAACTTATGAGCCAAACTTATAAACCAATTGAAATTCCATATGAAAATATGTTAGCAACGTCAAACTTTATGTTAGATGACATGGAATTCGGGACTTTGCATAAAAGACTACAAACCATAAATAATAAATACTAATTTAATATTTTATCATCTTGGCTGATTAAAGTACTATTATAATGAAGCCTGTGAAATCGCTTTCAATAAATACACATATATTATGAATATATCTGAGCAAATGTAAAAGAGTTGGAATAATTTGATCTGTTTTTGTCCATTAAGATATCAGTTAGTCTTTTTATGTTGAGCTCGTTAACGAAAGAAGTACAATATTTAGTATCATACACCAAAACAGAATAAACAGGCTACAAATGTTAGTTATAGAATATCAATTGGAGTTATCCAAATTGATGTAGGCAAAATATGATTTGAACTTGTAACTCAGCAGTTGAATGTTCAATGCATTGATCATTAAATTACTGATTCTACGTTAGAATAAACAATCAGTAAAATTTGATAATTATCAGTGGAATACAAGATGCTCTTTTAATTCTTACTCCACAGCTTCATGTATTTGAGTCACTGTAATATTACCTTTGTGTATCAATCTAAGAGGTTACATTTTCGAAAGATTCTATTAAGAATCACATAAAAAACCTCCGTATAAAAAATTACTGTTTAGTTCAGAGTATTTAGATAAATACAAGAATATTGAAGACAATATCAACAAATTTTAGTGTTTGTATCGTTTTACTTTCTCATTTCAGTCACATGGTGCAATTATTCCACAGAATAACTTGTTAACGGTTACGCCACTTGGCCAATTATTATCTGATATACCAGTTGAATTTTCAATAGGTCGTATGTTAATTATGGCATCATTATTAAGATTAATTAATCCCGTATTAAGTTTAGCTGCTGGTATGGCTATTCAGTGTCCATTATTACCGTATACAGCTTTCAGTGGAGCAGAACAAACGCGTCGAATCGAATCACTAGCTGAATATGAAAGTGATCATGGAGATGCGTTTACATTGGTTAATGTTTTTGATGAATGGATTAAGGTAGTTTATCGTAATAACGTGTAATTGATAATATTTATTATTTCTTGTACTTATTTGTTGTTGATAATAATTATATATTCTCATTCAATTTCTAACCATATGGTTGAATAATTGTTAACAAATATTCAAATAGTGTTTGTTTCTTACTGTTCCAGTCAGTCAGTCACAATGTAGAACCTGTACGTATGTGCATCGGTTCAAGTTGCCGTACCCCGTTAGCACAAAGAGATGAAATTTTCAGGTCAAATTTCACAATAATAGAGGTAGTAAAAGTATCAATCGTAATAGGAAAGATTAGGCATCGAAGATACGATTCGAGAAGAAAATAAAGATTGATGAATTAAAAACAAAAAAGGTTACGAGGAATTTAAAATCTCAGGATTTGGGTGTAGATAAAGAATGGATGCATCTGCGCCATTGCGAACGATTCTGTTATGTTACCCAGAGTCTCTAACCGTTGCGACAACCACGCAGACCCCAACCAGGTAGTCTGTACCTATTAATATGACTCAGTCTAATTATCAGTGGTTTCATGGACTGATACCTTGGTTTGATTTGTTATCTCCTAGTTTTTTTTCCAATCTACTGCTATGCCAGACAACATCGCCCGTCTAAGTAGGCAGTGGTTGGGCATACGTTACATGTTCCAATCACCTCAGTTGACTAAGATTTACTACCTCATCAATCTATTTGCCATTTTTACCTATTACTCTATTCCTAACCCAGGTATTGCTTACTCCGTGGTATTAAAATACATGAAGAATGCTTTGAATACACCTTGATCGAATACTAATAACCTGCGAATATCCTCTATTTCTAATAACCACTTTTCACACCTATAAAAGTAGAACGAAGCGAACGGCTTCACAGCAGACCCGCCCTCTGGTCGGTAGACAGATATTTCTCGTACGCCACAATTGACTCAGTTTTGCAAAAGCCGATCAGGTGTGTGAAAAAGTTGACACTTTCTCCAGTGTACACTTAAAATATGGTAATACAAGTAGCAACTTATTATATTTATAATTCATGAAAATAATGTGTAACGAATAGAATCCTAGGCTAACTTTGTATTTTTTTTCCTACTTGTGTGATAGTTTATAATTTTACATATCCTATCTTGATGTTTGAGGTTGTCCAGTACATAACAGTTTATGTAGGCATTGTACTTTTTAGAATTTTTCACGAAGATATTTTAAACTTGAAATGAAACCAGAGTTTTTTTACAACTTGACATCAATAACTTGTCAGAACAACATCATCATTGTATTTCATTCATTTATTTGCTATCTTGTCAGTGATATTGGAACCACGTTCTTACCAACTTTTCTATACGAACTCTTGTTGCTATCTACGGCATTCGATTCAGATACACACACTTCTCATACTTTTTCCCAAGCAGCTGCGTGTGTGAGAAGACAAAAATTACTAGGAAACTATAATTCACAACATCGAATATTTAGGTACACAGATCACTACCAAACATACATTTATCCTTCTAATCCAGACAAAGATGTGTAGGTTGAGATATTGACTAAGTGCATAATCAAATTCCTCCAATCATTTCGCGTGTGTAATTCCACAAACAACTGTTAACCAATATCAAAGTCACAATCTTCAATTCGAATGTCAAGACAGTTCTACTGTACGGAGCTGAAAGGTGGAGAATTAATACAAGTATCATCAAGAAGGTACAAGTATTTATAAATAGTTGTCTACACAAGATACTCAACGTCCATTGGCCGGATACAATTAGCAACAGCATACTGTGGAAGAGAACTAATCAGCTTCCAGCTGAAGAGGAAATTAGGAAAAGATGATGGAAATGGATAGGACATATATTATTCAAACCATCAAACTGCATCGCGAAGCAAGCCCCAACTTGGAATCATGAATGAAAACAGAAAAGTGGAAGGCTGAAGAACACACTACGTCGTGAATTGGAAGCAGATATGAAAAGAATGGGTAGCAGCTGAAAAAGATTGCCCAGAACAGAGTTGAATGGAGAGTGCTGGTGGGAGGCCTATGCTCCTCCATGAAGAGTAGCAGGCGTAAGTAATTACTTACTTCCGTTACGCTTCATGGAGAATAGGCCACCATTCAGGATTCTCCAACCAACTCTGTCCTGGGCAATCCTTTACAGTTGTTCCTAACCGCTATTCATTCTTCTGATGTCTGCTTCCAACTCCCAACCCAGTGTATTTCTTAGTCTTCCTCCTTTCTTCTCCAAATGATTCCAAGTTATGGCTTGCCTCATGATGCAGTTTGATAATCTCTGCAATATATGTTCTATCCATCTCCAGCGTCTATTTATAATTTCCTCTTTAGATGGAAGCTGATTTGTTCTCTGCCATAGTAGGTTGTTGCTGAGAGTATCCGACCAACGGAGATTGAATATCTTGCGTAAACAACTATTTATATACATACCCGTACATTTTTTGATGCTAATTGAAGTAGTTCTTCAAGTTTGAACTTCGTGCAATAGAACTGCCTTGAAGTTCGTATTGAATATTTTCAATTTGATGTTGGCAGACAGTTGTTTCGAGTTCCATATGTTCTTCAATTGTAGGAATGCAGCCCTTGCTTTGCCAACCCTCGGCTTTACATCTGCATCAGGTCTTTCTTGTTTATCGATGCTGTCTTTTGATGAACTTGATACCTGAGAACTTTATTTTTCAAGTGTTCATTTGATTTTGAAGTGCTCAGAATTTCTAATTTTTACTAGAAGTAACATAAGAGGTCATTGACTAAGTAAATATTACTATACAGGTACACCTTTCATATATTATTTCAGATGCTAAAATACTAAACACTTTTCAATACAGATATTAATCATCATTAATAAGATAGCTATCAGTTTATAGAGATGTGAATCATCCAATTTACTGAATGTGTATTAAATGATCGAAGTTAATATAAAAATTATATTGAATCAATAGGGTGTGATTATTTGCCACTCATCAAACGATTGATGATGGATCAGAGATGGAAATGAAGTTCACAAAAGTATTAAGGCTTTTGTAGATCGCGTAAAATTTGTTGTTCATAGAAGGTTTAACATGAAAAATTCCCTGTAATGTGTCTTTCGTGTTTCTACCCAATGTTTTCATATTAAAGATTATTGTCTCAAACGACAAAAAGCATGACGTTCTAACTTATTCAATCCTAAAGAAGATAGTAAAAACACTCAAAATAACCTTGCTGTATTTCTTCCATAATTCATTTTTCAGTGTGAAATAACGTTTTTGATTACAATTGTTTTTGATGTAACCATTAGATGAAATCGGAGGCGACTGGTATTATTAAACAAGACCGTGAATTAGACGAATTTGATGATAATAATAATAATAATGACAAGGGATGTAAAAACATTCAACGATGGTGTCGTCGTATTGGAGCACAACAGCAACGTCTTCATGAAATGGTCCGATTACGTAGTCAGTTTGCACAGTTGTTAAAAGACAGTGGTCTTCTTGATAGTAAATCCACAGAATTTGATGAAAACCCATCCAGAACACAACACTTTAAAAATTTAAATTATGCAAGACGTAGTGCACGAATGAAATCTAAACGACGCCGACTTCTCACTTTACAAGATAATGTAAGTTCTGCTATTTGTTTGCGTCATTGCATAAGTTCGGTGCTAAAGGAATTTGACTCTCAATCACTAGGACGGATATCCGACCCACACTCTATTTATTTCAGGTATTATCACTAACTTTCGTACATAAAATGTTTCTGAAAGTCAGGTTTCTGAACATGTATTAAGTCACATAAATGAAGCACTGGTCTAATTATTAGACATTAAACCCTTATATTTTATGCAAAGATGGATAGTGGCTGGCAGTGGAATCCAGGACGCACTTTTCGTCTTATTTGGGACTCATCAGTTGAGTGTACCTGCATCCCAGAACCCAGTACCGTTCGCTCCAAAGGCCGTCGCATTATCCTTTTAGCCACTGAGTCCTGATAGCCACCTTCCTATTCAATGGGGTGAGGTTTAAATTCACTTGGTGGGATACAGGTACATCCAGCTGACGAGTCCCAAATAGGACGAAACGAGCGTCCTGGATTCCACTGCTAGCCATCATCTATATTTGCTTAAAAAGCTTGTGACTTTAGGCTATATAGAGGTGATCCCCACAAGATGCACATGTGCCAACAAGAGACTGGTCAATTACAGTCCTAAATAACAATTGGAAGATACAAGTAAGACAACACTAAGTGAATATATATTTTATGTTTCATATTCTAACTCACTCCGCATACTTCACTTTGGCAGCTAGTTGTTATCGCTAGCTATCGTATAAGAAAATATATGTGTACTTTGACACATGAGAAAGAAGCCATTTTCTAACCGGTGTTATGCTGTAATTTGTAGGTGAATTTATTTGTCTTTTGTACTAAAGGCGACGACCTATTAGTTAAGACATCTGGCTTTCAATCAGTAGGTCACATGTTAGAGTCCCGCTTCATGCACTTTCGCTTAGGCATCCGGGTAGTATCACTAGCCATCAAACAAATTGTGGCTCAAAGTCTAGTGCACTGTTCTTTACTTGTGAATTAAGTTAAATAAGAATCAATGTTCAATGGTTTGTAACTAATTCTTAATCATATTTCTGTACCAAATATGTATGTTATTCAGTAGAAATAAATGAATAGATTATGATGATTGCTAGTTTCAAATAGAATTCGATATTATCAAAGTTTCTTGTAAAAATTGTTTTAACACGAGTTAATCTTTAAGAAACCCTGTTATGCATGTTCAGGTGTATGAATTAACACATCTGTTCATGGTATTTGCGGAATTAACCAAAGTACTAAATACCGAATAAGTTTAACTTATCAAATGGTTATTAACAGATTAGCTGAAAGTTTCAATTTTAAAAAGACAGTTCTGGTAAAGTTATATCATCTAAGCTAAATGGTTTGATTGCAAAGATTTCGTTATTATTCAAAAACCTCGTCAAACCAATCCGTTCTGGCAGCTTTGGTTGTGATTGGATTCCCTCGTTATCTTCATTTCATCTTCTCAGTGACCTTTTTACTAGGTTGCTCTCTGATGTGGCGATTGGTTAATCCTTCCTGCATAGATTGATAGATGTATGTCGATACCACTTATTCTTTGCAAATTGGTATGAGCGATATCCCTCTAGAAATTCTGTGACATTTCTGCAGTTAAATTCGTGTTCACAGTTGTCTTAGTATGTTGGTACAAGTAACTTCATAAAATAGAATTAAATCATTGTGTTGGGTTGCAAGTAACAGATGGATGCAGGACTTATAAAATGATTCTTAAAAATTCTAACTTTTGTCTTGATTAGTCACGTATAACGTTGTCCTGAATGATAATCAAAGCTTCTCAGTTAAACTATTTAAGCTGATGAACATAGAACAACCAAATGCTTATACTGTGAGAGTATAGTATAGTAAAGAGATTAAAGCAACCACGATGAACTTCGAGCCATTTTCTGGCAAATCAGAAAATAGCTTTTATAAGTCGATAGTTTATGGAAAAAAAACAATAATATTACGAAGTGTATAGATTTTATAGATTTTACAGATTTTATACAATTAACAAGTTCATTCTTGTTTTCTACATGTTCTTTTGGATGTAAATCGAAAAAAAAAACAATGATATATAAACTCGTCTCAATGGATATAGATTGTCCATATTCTCCAACCCTTAAAAGGCTCCAAACAGATTTTTAAGAGTCTCTAAATTTTTTGTAGTTAAGGTTAGAACCAGCGGTTTAAGTTTATGGTTTGCATCACAAATTGACACCAGTTATAATTTAACAATGGTGGGTAACTGTATAGATCGACATATTTCACTCAAAAATATGAGAAACTCTTTAAAATTCAGTATTATCACGTCTAGGTTTGTTCTATAATTAAGAATTTTGAGGTTAGGATTTAAGGGTTGCTTTGATTTACCTTTATATATATATATATAAGCTAAAGAAAAAAAAGTGATGCATTTGATCTGTTTAAAAAATATCGTTTTTACCATATTGTTGCACAGAATAATTTTCCGCTATTATTTTAAATGTTTTGAGAGGTATTTAAAAGTATATCTACTGCTCGTTATACATGATATTTTAATTTCGCATAAAAACCTAAAAGTCTCATTCTCTATTCTGGTTAGCTCGTTCATAAAGTATTCTTTTACCAGTATTCCCTTAGGCTAGAAGTCATCATCATTTCAAATACATAGTTTTTGTTTACTTTAGCTAGTTTGATCGCATTTCATACCGAATACTGTACAATTTTGTAGTATGTATAGTTATTTCTTTTCAGTTCTCATTGTTCATAATAAAGTGTTGCCAAATAAAACACACTTTAACAAAACATAACTATGTGAACAAAGAATGTTCTTTTCAGTAAATTCTCTTCAGGTTCTGCAATCCTGTATCCAAATTAATAACCCGAAAGTGGTCAGGCTTAAGGCAAGTTTCACAGTCATATTAGGGTTAGTCCGAATCGTTCTTCGTCTATATATATGATCAGAATGCAGTATGTCGTTTATCAATGGTCTATAGGATCTTGCTTACTGTTTGAAAATATCCAAACGGTTAATTTTATTATAATTTATGAAGTTGTTAACACCTTTACACTGTGACAGATATCATATGAAGGAGCGTATGACAGTACTGATACGGGTTTGAATCCAATTTGACTATTAGATGCCGGATGAACAATAACAGTATAATAAGTTTCTGATGATATTCAACAACGCACATATAAGAATAATAAGAATCTTTAAAAATGAGTATTTAATTTGTTGAGAAAAAGGCGGTTATAGTAATAACGGTGTTTATTCTATTCCGTTTATATGACCTTAGATTAGAAATACTAAAATAGACCAGTGGAAAGGGCAGTTAATGTGAAGTAATCAATTGGAGAAAATAATGATCATAACACAATTTAGCGCGTAATTGTCGGGATATTAATAACCTATTTTTCGAGGTAATCTCAACAATGACAGTGTTATTTTTCATAGACCATTAACGTGAAATCAATGGGTCAGATTTTAACTGCATCCTCTAATCCATAGTCTAGCTATCAAATATTATGATAATCTTTAGTACATAATACACTGTAACTCAGCTTCACTTAAAGTACTTCAACATGATGGTTACTGCATTGAATTATTATCATTTTCTATTTTCCAATAATTTTCATTACATTGCCTCTTTTTACTTTAATTTTACAGTTGAGTGATAACTCGGAATCTGAAAAAGAAGATCATCATATGGAAAGTGATTCATCTAAATTACGTAAATGGTTAAATGCGTCGAGCCGTTGTTCATCAATCAATTCATCAAATGTACCTGTACAAGATTTAGAACTAGTATTATGTTACAATCTATCATCTTTAGCGCAATCAGCTAATATTCAACAAAACATGACACAAGCTGATCTTCAACTATTAAAAGTTGTATTAGCTGGTGGTATGTATCCTCAGTTAGCTATTGGTGATCCAGCCAATGCTTATCGTGTTGCTAATCGTGGTGGTACAGCTGGAGCTGGTGCTGAAATGGTATTTCATACTAAGGTGAATGTTCGTTTTTAGTTCATGAATATCATCTGAAGAATACCACTTGGTTGACATTGTAGTATATATATATATCCCTTTAAAATAATTAATCGAAGTAACGAGAAATGTTTGACGAAATAGCAGAAATGTCAATTTATAAAAGTACACTCAAACATATTTGATTCTTGAACGCTGGTCAAGAAGTCGACTGAGTTTTCCCTTGCATGTTAAACATTATTCAAGAGGATTTAAGTTGTTGGTGTTTTGGACGTTTTAAGTCTTTTCAAGCAGCAATTATATAGGATTATATTAAGACTACGCTTACTGGTGGGCGGCCTATGTTCCTCCGTGAGGGGTATCAGGAGTAATTGAGTAAATACACTAACTGATTGTCGAGACAAATATTGATTGCGACAAAAATACAAAAATAATGTAAATGAATTTTGTTAGGAGAAAGCAGAAGAGAAATTTTTTTTCGATAATAGTTAAATAACGACAAATCAGTTACTCAGTTACTTACGTACTTACTTACTTACTTACTTACTTACTTACTTACTTACTTACTTACTTACTTACTTACTTACTTACTTACTTACTTACTTACTTACTTACTTACTTACTTACTTACTTACTTACTTACTTACTTACTTACTTACTTACTTACTTACTTACTTACTTACTTACTTACTTACTTACTTACTTACTTACTTACTTACTTACTTACTTACTTACTTACTTACTTACTTACTTACTTACTTACTTACTTACTTACTTACTTACTTACTTACTTACTTACTTACTTACTTACTTACTTACTTACTTACTTACTTACTTACTTACTTACTTACTTACTTACTTACTTACTTACTTACTTACTTACTTACTTACTTACTTACTTACTTACTTACTTACTTACTTACTTACTTACTTACTTACTTACTTACTTACTTACTTACTTACTTACTTACTTACTTACTTACTTACTTACTTACTTACTTACTTACTTACTTACTTACTTACTTACTTACTTACTTACTTACTTACTTACTTACTTACTTACTTACTTACTTACTTACTTACTTACTTACTTACTTACTTACTTACTTACTTACTTACTTACTTACTTACTTACTTACTTACTTACTTACTTACTTACTTACTTACTTACTTACTTACTTACTTACTTACTTACTTACTTACTTACTTACTTACTTACTTACTTACTTACTTACTTACTTACTTACTTACTTACTTACTTACTTACTTACTTACTTACTTACTTACTTACTTACTTACTTACTTACTTACTTACTTACTTACTTACTTACTTACTTACTTACTTACTTACTTACTTACTTACTTACTTACTTACTTACTTACTTACTTACTTACTTACTTACTTACTTACTTACTTACTTACTTACTTACTTACTTACTTACTTACTTACTTACTTACTTACTTACTTACTTACTTACTTACTTACTTACTTACTTACTTACTTACTTACTTACTTACTTACTTACTTACTTACTTACTTACTTACTTACTTACTTACTTACTTACTTACTTACTTACTTACTTACTTACTTACTTACTTACTTACTTACTTACTTACTTACTTACTTACTTACTTACTTACTTACTTACTTACTTACTTACTTACTTACTTACTTACTTACACACACACACACACACACACACGCCTGTTACTCCTAGTGGACCATATGCCGATGACCAGCATTCCCCAACCCACTCTGTCCTGGGCCTTACTTTCTAGTTCTGTCCAATCGTTGTTCATTTTTCTCATGTCTGTCTTCCAGGTCTCTGACATTGTACGAGCATTCCATGTACTTAAGTTAATCGTTGCTGTGGTTGTCAGAAGGGACATCAGCCCCATAACTCTTCTGAATGAAGACCTTCTAACTTCCAGGGCACAGTTTAAATGGTTTGAATTATTTTTTAGTTAGTTTTCTACGGGGTGGGGTCGCTAACCCCATGCCCAGCCCTTCTCCTTTATCCGGGCTTGTTACGGGCAGTAGCCCCAGAGGGGCTCCACGCGGAGTCATGTATTCATTGGTATTCATAAATCATGGTAAATTATGGTCTAATACTTTCCGGTTATAATAATATGAATCAGAATAATATGATTTCGTTTTGATCATCGTGTGGCCTTGTATTTAATAGGATGCAAACCTCTGTGGTTCATCGATTATGTGGTGTAAAAACAAAATCTCGACATAGGTTTAAAAGGTCATTTTTTTGTGATTTGAAAAATACACCCCTTCTACCTATCAAAAGCCTGGTGTATCGTGCAACAGTATGATCTATTTAACTTCATAGCTGTGAAACGAACTTTTTACGGTAGAAGACATATAGTAAGTAACAATCTTTTTTATCATAAATATCATCGAAATATTGTTCGTATTTGTTAGGACCACCTACTGACTGATAGTGGAATTAGGAGCAAAATAGCTGTTGATCTTTACTTTATCAATAGCCCCGTAACTGCGTCCTGAAAGTGATTGGAAGCCTTGGATAATAGAGATTGAGATAAATCATTGTGGCTAGGATACGCCTATTCTTTATTTTCTCATAGATTCTCAGTTTCAATAAGATTCGATACTTTTTATCATCTGAATTCATGCTTTCATTTAGAACTGTATTCTTTATGTTTAATCCTTCCAGGTATTATTTTCATACCTTTCGAACTTGTTATTTTAATTTAATCTCTCTGTGCTTATTTGGTGCATCTACCTAGACCGATCCATATCTATGTCTCGTGTCTTACGTTGTTTATGACTGATTAACTCAATTGATTACGTCATGCTCATACTAAACTGAAGAAAAACGTTAGTTAATAAACATTTTTCTGTTACTAACACTTAGATGTGTTACTGTTTTTAAGGAACTAATATATCTACCTGGTATTACTCATGTTTATGAGTTAAAAGTTAAACATGTTGAAAATTTCTCCACTATCTGATATGTTAATTTATTGATTCTTTTTCATACAATGATATATTTTGTTTTGTGGTCTCATAATTTTGAAGTTTTTGTGTTTTTTGAGCTAGGTGAAGCTTGTATTATCTTTATAGACAATATTATCAACCTATACTTTAATAAGAAGTGAGCTATTATAATTTGTCCACGTCAACAGCACAAACGTTTAGTCATTTGTGATTAAGTTCTAATCACTTACTTCTTATTGAAGTGTATGTTAATTATGTCATCCAGAAAGACATTGAGAGCTCCACAATTAAACCATCCAGCTCAAAGAACACAACACCTTCAAAATGATCATTCTATGCTACAAATATTCCTCGTCGATAATTTAACTATTTTTTCTATTCTATTTTAGAATAAAGGTTTTGTTACACTTCATCCAAATGATGTATTTGTTAGAAAACCAGATGTTTTATTTCCTGAGCGTACTTCAAAAAAACGGAATAACAATCGTCCGAACCTGTCAAAGATACAAAAGTCACAAACATCATTACCAAATAAAAATTTGAAACAAAAAAGAGATGATGATTTCGATGGTGAACAAACGGAAGAAGAAAGTATTCTTGATGTTTTACCGTCTGGCTTTGCATACGATCATCAATTACTTATGTATCTGTAAGTTCATAGTTGTTTTTAATGATAAAATTTTAAAATATAATGACTATCACTTGCATTAATATTGTCATCAGGGATTTTTTAAACAACTCACAACAACCTCAATAATAGTGATCAGTTATTCCATTAACCTCTTCTATTATTTATACATGGTTTGTTTTTTCTGAGTAAATCTTGTCTTGAATTAAGTTCTATTGTAACGAGTAGCAAGTGACAGTTTTTCCGCAGTCATATCACAAATAGTCATATCATTAGCAGTATCAGTATTTTGCACTAGTCATTACAATAAGTTAATTTGTAAACAGATCAGTCATAAGCAACATGAAAGTTTACATAACAGATTGCCTTTAACTGGAAAACCATTGAAACTCGAGAAGTACTAGGCAGGTGTTTTGTCCTAGTTAGGAATTACTCAACGATATGAATCCGGGATCTTACAATGAACCCACCCTAAAGCCTTCAGGGCTCGTGGTAAGCACTATATCTTTGGGTAACTGAGCTGGTATCTAAGTGGTTCACGTTTCCAACTTTAGTCGATCCACAATATCACATGGTCATTATCCCTTATCAAAATAAATCTGTTTCATCTTATTTTATGACTTATACTCTCCAATTATTGGCTACATTGATAAAGGAGCTTTGATTTATTTTGTTTGGTAATTTGTGCGAGAATTTTATATACTATTTAGGAATTCTACAATATTTCTCTTATATTCATGTTTTTGAAAGTACTTATTCCTCGTTCACTGTTTTACAAAAATACGCTTGCTAAAATATTTTCATTCACCTTTATACTCGAATTTCTTTCCGTTATTATTTCTTCTACTTTGGTTCTAATAAATACATTCTTGTGAATGGGATATCTGAACGATTATAGCTTATAAGCAACACTTATGATACCTTTGTTTTTCGCGTAACAATAATTAGCATTCTATGTATAGAAAGTTAATTTTAGGTTGGCTTCTTCGTTGTTATTATCGTCCCAAATACTGACTGCTGGGATTCGTGGATACGCCACTGTGAACTTGATTAGAACCTTGAAGGCCACCTTGAAATATTTCAAGTCATATGAAATCTGGCAAACTATACTCACTGATAATAATCGACCTACTGAATTACATTTAGTAATATAATTGTATTTTGCTAATTTTCAGTTCTGTAGATCCGTGATATCAATTAAACTGAGTATTCAACACTTTTGAACATATTAACCTGTCGATAAGTAAAAATCTGCTCAGGGTTACGCAATCCTTTATTAGATTTTAAACTTTTTTAAAATTTATTTTCATATCGTCTGTAGTCAAAACTTGAACATTCGAATAAAAGTCATTCATGTGTACTCATCTTTTATGTGACGTTAATTCTAAATGTACGTCGCATCATTAATTGTCTTTATAAATAGATATATGTTATTTAGCTGATGTATTCTATGTATAATAAAAGTTTGCCAAATTTTATATATCGAAACCGGAGGTTATTTATGTCTAGATTCAAACAGTTAGCTTTCATCATTGAATATTATGTTTAAATACTCCTCCACGTATATTAGGTCATTTTTAAATGAGGCTCGTAAATTTCAATTTGGCGATTGTTTATCTAGAATGGAAATGTATCTGATAACTGAAGTTCTTTTAGCTTTTAGATATAAGAATTATGAATAAATTTCGTAATTATTACGATATTTACACATAAGTAATTAAGTAGTCTTACTGGTGTTTTCATTCATATTCTTACTATGAATAATATTACACTAAAATGATAGTTTCACTTTTCACACAATTTCTTTGTTAGCCTTTTTTGTGTGTGATAATAACCTCTTTTTATTTCATTACCTGGGTTCAACATAATTGATGTTTACGTGTACTCTATATATAATGTATATAAGAATTATCTATGTATCATGTTTGTTTTGTTGTATTTGTTATAAACTCTATATTTGTTTATTGATGAAAGTGTACAGTTTTCAAAGGGGAATTTACCACGTTTTTGAGCGTTTATATAATATTTTCACCATGAATTCCTAGAATCTACAATTATTAGCATATTTTATCAGACCGAAATTCTACAAATTTATGTTTCATATAGATTTTATCATGAAGTATCATTAAGAAGTTAAAAACTAAAGAATTTAGAATGATCAGAATGAGGCATTATAGAGATTGTAGTAATTTTAATAGTTAAATTCATAAGTCAATCTAAACTAGACCACCAGGTTCATGTTTTCAATGGTGGTCTAGCTTAGATTATTTAATTGAAGTAGATTTTTATATTATGAAGCGCTTTAGCCATTATATATCAAACCTATAGAATGATGTGAATTCTATCTTTACTAAGCTTAGTAAATTGAAATAGAATTTTCATAGTAAGTTAATGTAAAATCATTTGTTCGCTTTAAATCAGTAAAAATGACTAAACATTATTGATAGTGTTCTATTTACAATTTATTTTCATGAAAGTTATATAAGTAGTTTGTAAATGTCAAAAATTTTGTTTCCTATAATTCTTTTTTTGAAGATTTTTAATACTCTATAACTTGGCTAAACAGAACTAAGCAAAACAGACATATATCCTTCGGTTTACTATACTTTTTGAATCTACCATTGTTTGTTAAACATGACTATTAGATTATTGGGTTGTAAAAATTAATTACGGACCGTTTCATGAATTGAATAAAACAATCTATGATTGTTGTAACTAATATACATACATACATACATACATACAGTATTTATCAAATTAGTATAAAGAATTGTTTGTTGAACCTTCTACATGTTTTACAATCGATCGATCGGTTGATCGATTGTTGTTATTTCGAAACTTTTAGTCTATAAAAATCGGAGATGTTATTAGGGCGGAGTCAACAAATGAACGTCGAGTCTCTGCCTATCTCTCTCTTATTTTCTTTACAGAATAATTCAATGTCCTGACAGGTTTTCATTCAACAACAACAACTAAAAAAGACACATATGTATTGGTCTGTCTATCCACTAGTACTTTATTATTGATAGTTCATGTGTCTTTATAAATTTTATGTACACATAAACCTTTGTGTGTGTATGTATGTGTGCTATCAAAAAAAAAAACAAGAGAGAAAGTCTGTGGTTGAATTTTGTTGACCTGCTAATATTAAAATTGTATGTCATCGATTTCTGTAGAAAAAAAATCAATTCTAATCAGGCCGTTTAAAGCCCGGTCCAATGAACATGTAGGTTAGTATCAATGACATGAATTCTAGCCAAAAATTACTTTAGTAATAATAATAATAATAATAATAATAATAATAATAATAATAATAATATAGTTAATGATCACCATATTCTTGCATGGTTCTAGATTCTCATAGTTGATTACATTTGTTACTCAAGTCTTTTTGTTTTATATGATATTGAGTTGATTGTTTATGATGTTCAACTATGTATTATGGTGCTTGACTTCGAGACGTACTAAATACATAGTTCCTTATAATATGTGAATATTCTTGGTTTATAAGAAATTAGGTAATTTTCACTAAACTCATCATATAATTATGATCTTCAATGGATCACAATATGAATAAATAGAATATCCCAATAGTTAAATGATAAAAATAAATATTTCTTCAAACTAGTAGGGATTTATACAAAGATTACCATTTTCTATCACGTTCTATTGATAAGGTTATCACGGAATAATTTTTAGAAAAAAAGTAAATATAATTGAAACAATGTTAAGTATATCATCCGTTAAACTAAAGAAGAAGAAAAGAAAACAAACATAATCAACTATCTAAATCAATTAGATAGAAAATAGATTTATACAAATAGGTGAGAAAAGATTATATTCAGTTTAGTTCATCTAGTTTAAAATATCATTAAAATATGCTTTGTCATCTCATAGAAAATATCTATTTAATTATACATTCATGTTATCTTTATGTTTCTATATAAACAGAAATAATCATAAATCTGCATACACACACAAATATATATATATATAATTCTTATTCTTATCAATTTAATACATTGTAATTAATGATGAAATGATAGTAGAATTCTTAGAAATTGGCATGCATTATGTATCCACACATAGACAATAACAAACTGACCAAACTAATTATAGTTACACATAAATGACAAAACACGACTAATTTTCATAATATTTCAATGTCTTAAATACTAATTCATGTGATGATAGAATTATACTTTATTCTTCCAATTCTGATATGTTTCCGAATATAGATGAATAGCTGGGGATGAACTTTACTTTGTCAAGTTATCGAATTGTATTGTAATCTGTGATTACGATTATGTTTTCGTTTATATATTCACTCAATAGTAAACATTTTGGAATAATTTCTATTATAGATTTATTTGAAGGTATGGCTTTTGCCATGTTGTAATTTTTCTTCCATCCTGACTGACTACGCTACAATTGACACGTCCGTAACATGTTGGAGTGGTATTTTCGTCTTAGTAAACTACATTTTTTATGTAAGCTAGCAAAAACAACAGATTACGAAATACGCCTTCCATCATCGATTACGATAGTGTAAATAAGAAACGACGCTTGATTTTGGTTACTTGCCAGGTGCAAGGTTAAATTTGCAAATGGGAGTGAAGTTTAGCCTCACCCAGATAACTAAAGTATATAAAGTATACAAAACTATTTTAATTGTTGAAATCATGAGTTAATTTAAGCTAGACCAACATAGAAAACCTAGAACCACTGGACGGCCGTTTTGTCCTATTGTAGGACTCCTCAGTAGTGCACATTTATGACCAGTGGAGTTCAACCGAGTCACTCGTGAGGTAGTAACTCACTGATCACAATGGTGGATGTCGCTCAATTTCGTGGATTAGTTTAAGTTAGACACTAACACCGTTGGATGTCGGCTCAGTGGTCTAGTGGTTAAGTGCTCGCGCGTGAAATCAGTAGATCCTGGGTTCGAATCCTGCGAGGCGGGACCATGGATGCTGAGGGGTACCGTAAAAGAACGAAACGGTCGTCCAATGCCTCCAGGTTTTCCATGGTGGTCTAGCTTCAGTTGACTAATGATCTCAACAATTGAAATTACTAACATCACCACAAGACCCCTTCTGATATTATTTATTTATTTTAACACATAGATATTGGTACAAGGAGGCACCAAATACATATGCACCACACAGACCTCATTTGATATGTGTGAGGGCTGTGATACTGCCCGGGCGCCCAAACTATTTTAATTGATTTTCACTCTATTTGCCAAAGTTTTTTAATAGTTTTTTTAAAAGTACAATCTAGATTATCTAATTAGATTACTGATTCTTGTTTTGACGATTAACTACTCTGAAATCATTGTCAAAGCAATATTTCTTTCTTAATGTACAAGTTGAACGATGCTATTGGTTAATGAAATTTTGTAAAGGAATATCGGTTTATGTAATCAATTTTATGCTGTACAGTTTATGTATGAAGTAATAATATTGTCTGGTTGTCTAATCTACAATGGCCAACGTTGAATCCAAACATGTAGTGTACTGATTGGAAATTTTAACCACTTTAAGCATTCACTTGTTTTTTAAATGCATGAACAGATGAAATAATAAGTTGAAAAAAATATTATATGGTGTGCTTATTAAATTACATAAATTCAATAGTAACACGGACAAAATTGATTTAAACTTTACTCCATTGCACAAGCTACTGGCTATCGAGACTCAGTATCCGAGTGAATAACGCGATGATGTTTGAAGCGAATGACCCTGCGTTCGGGTCTCGGGGTGAACATCAACTCGGATGCAGTTACATCCAGCTGATGAGTCCCAAATAGGACGGAACGCGCATCCTGTATTTCGCTGCTAGCGAACGTCCACGTTTGTTTATAAAGCTTGTAACTAGGCAATCCGCACAGGATGCACATTTGCCAATAAGAGACTGATCAACTGAAGTCCTAAACATCAATGGGAAGATTCGAACTAAGAACACTAAATGAAAGTAACAAGGGCAGTTCAGATGATTTTTTATAATATTAAATTTAAGCCATGTTCACTGCATTAAAACACGAATTCTATATCGTTTTGTTTTATAATATATGAGTGACGATTAAAAATGTGAAACATTTTTAAAAACAAATGCTACTATTTCACCATATTTCAGTGGTTTCAATAAACCCTCACCACATTTTCTTTAATTAAGTTTTATCCAATTAACATCAACATATCTAATAAAATGTATAAATTAATAAAAGCAGGTATATAACTTCATATTTGATGACCAAGTTAGTTACATTCATTGCTATGTAAGATCGATTTACGTCATTTCTTCAACAGGAACTATTTTTTGAAAGGTCGTGAATCATTTCGGCTTAAATCTTTTTTTCATCAAACTTGGAAACCTTTTCTTGAATACATGTTTTCAATTACATGATTTATATAATATCTTCGAAAATAAGAATCATTTTTCTACGTGCATATTTGTTGTAGATACAGTTGTCAATAGTCTTACTTTATGTGTACTGATCCCGTGATAAATTTAAGAAAAAACAAAATGTGTTTAGTAAAATGAATTCTTTGTATTTTAAGTCTTCTAATCAGCTGAAAACGGCCTAAATTTACATTAGTGATATTATTATGAAATGTTTAACATTACCATAATCAATCAACTTTAATCCTACTACAATTCCGTCGACCGAAATAGGTACAATTGCTATAAATCACTAAGTAGCTAACTATTAAACATGTCCTCTTATATTTGTATGTAGTTGATGCTATTCACAAGTATGTTTGTAAGTAGTATGTAGCGGAACGCGGCATTGAAGTTGTAACAATTGTCAGACAGAAGGAAGAGTTTCAATGCATCAAAATTACAGCGTTGGTAGAACACTTGGAGACCAAACCAGAAGATGGTTCAGACGGCAGAACACACCGAATGATGCAAACTGGCGATTGAAGACTACGCATATGTATCATGTAACTTCCCGCAATAAAATATACATTCCTCCTGCTTATTTTCGTGTTTCATATGTGAACTACCGTGTTTGATTGCTGTTTAGCTTAATCGATCTTTGATCACATATTTGTTACAATCATATTGGTGCATACATTATACATGATTATATCAGATCGTATGTAATTCACGTTTCAGGGCGTTTGACTGTGTAGTTGATCGAAATAAGACTATTCAAGGTTTCCTGAAAAAAATTATTTGATCTTTGTACCTGTTAAATTTGCCACGTTGAAATGACCAATTGATTTTCCATTTATTGATTGATAACTTTCGATTATTATGACTATTTTTTAGGGATTTAATGGAAACAACTAAACCTTTTCTGGTAAATACAATACGGGTTCCAGCATTACCGACTTTGTTATTATACTGTCGGGAAGTGGATACAAATGCTGATATTTCAAGGTTTGTAACGAGTGTGAACATTTTCACATCTTACTATCATTATTAGTAACACTAAAATGATGGAGATTTGCACTTTGATTGTATGCTTTTGGTGTTGTTAAATTCTCTAAGCTAGATGATTCGATTATGAAACTTTAATTTTTAATCTTTACAACATCAATATCTACTTTACGTACTTATCCTACAAGTGTTAAGTCAGTTTATTCTGATGGCGTTGTTTGTGATTGGTTGGTCTCATTGTTCCTTGTATTCAGTTTGACTGTCTTGTTCGGTCGACTTCTGACCATACGGTTGATTGGTCTTTTTCATATGGGTATTGATATTCATAATGATTCCTAATGATTGTACGCAGTTATATATATAAGTTATTACTCTTGCAATCTGCTACTCAGATTAGTGGTCATATTGCAACTCAATAGTTCAAATTCGATTGCAGCTGGGGACTAGATAAACGTGTCATTGGTACTACATAATGACTGATCAGTATGAATGTTTAATTCCTTCAGACCAATCGCAGCTCGAATAGCTTAGTGATAGTATTCCTGTCTGCGATACTGTGTGACAGCTTTTTTCCTGAATCCCACAGGTATAATCATTTCTGTCGAAAATGCATATACTGTTTAGGTGTAGGGTTCTCTGCTAATTATCTCTTGATATGGTGAGCCAATCAGAAGTAGCCTAATGAGAGGGTCAGTCGATGACAATGAGAAGTGACCCGAAGGACAAGTGCATCTCGTTAGCTAAGAAGTGGATCAGTTTCTTAAGGATTGAAGTGGTATATACATAAATGAGTATTTGTGCATTTTATTCGGTAGCCCAATACGCTTTCTCACTTAAGCAGTCAGTTGTACCAGTATCAGATTTTTGATACTGCCCGCCAGAACACATCCAACCACCTAACATCAGTTCTTTGATTTATTTGGAGTGTATTAAAGTGATATATCCCTTCTGAAATAAGATTCAAAATAATTTATTTCCTTACTTGATTTGTGCGTGGTCTATGATACTGCCCGGGTGCCCAAACCGAAGCACGTGGTTTTCTTAAGGGGCCACACCCTGAACCTTTGACCTAAAGGTTTGATCCAAAAGACAGTGGAGCAATGTAAGCAGATGCAGTCCCATGGCAGCCAGTGACCAATAATAGGTTCATATGCTATTTGTTCGTTCAGGATACTGTAGCTTATTTGCACCATTGGTTTGGAATCAGGGTTTTCCAACTCCCTTAGGTGGACTGCCCGTGTTCACCAACCCAGTTAAAGCGCCTAACATTCTCTTTTTGTCCTCTCAATTTCGTAAACAACACCGCTGTGAGAAGTCAGTGAGTAGGACTTCTTAGACAGTGGCTGTATACGCGTGGCCATGTCCCGAGAGAGCATTTCGAAGAGAGCTGACTCTTCCTAACTTCGACCGTACCAGGGCATTTAGTGTCGAATGAAGACGAGACAAGTTTGTTGCACAAATTGAAAGTATTTTGAAGGGAACAGGAATGACTAATCCTAAGTTTTATAAAACAGTATTTTTATGACTTTAGTTTATGTTTTCATTGGAGAGACTGAATGCATTCCAAATCTATGTCCTAATATCACAAACTAACTGTTTCAACTGCACTTATTGGTTGAAAATTGTATTAAACATTTACTTATAGTTATATAGTGGATTACAATCAGTTACAGTTCAAAAGAGACTGTTTGTAATTAACGCTAATACTGTCCACTCGTGTATTTCTCTATAGTTGATATCACCATAATCTTGAAAACTTGGCGCACGTTTAACTTCTATTTCTAAATCATTATTGACCTATCAGCTGTGAACTATATGGTTTTCGAGTTAGTGAACTTAGATATGTGACTTAGTGGTCGTCGAATCACGTTCTAAATTTTAAGTATTGTCTTGTGTAATGTGAAAGTAATTCAACCCTAGAAACTTCAAATCTGTTTATAAACCTTAGAAAACCTATAAAATGAAAAACTATCACATACACTGAAGTTTCATAGCTTTTTCGGATACAGATTTTTGGATTTAATTGTCTGTGTACTCATTAACCAATAAAGGGGCATAACACTTTCCGTTTCTCTCAATGTCGGTGGTGCTGTAATGTAGTTTTACCTAAGTTGGTAGATGGGGAAGCTATAAACTGTAGAAACAACCAACTAGAATTTGATTTCAACTACTCAAAAAGAAAATAATTTTTGATCACAACTTATCTATTAACGAAAATTATAAGCGGTCAGATTATTTCTCTCTAATTAATCACTCATAGTGTATACTACAAATTGTTTACTTTATGAGTTAAATAACATGTGTATGGAAGTGTATATATTTAGGACAAAGGTGTTTTCATACTAGTATAATACATATTAATGCAATACTATTTGATTGGTAAGGAATTGTAATAAAAGTATTTTTGTCATTTTCATACGTACACATGAGAACGTTTAATTCAGTAACATTTACCCCAGTTACTATCCCTTATTTATGTACCAATCAAATAACATTAACGATAAATGAGATATCACTTCATGTAACTAATGTTTTTGGGTGATTGTTTGTTTATTATCCAGTCTTAAAGAAAAACAAAAAATAATCATGTGAACAAGTGTTGTTTATCAATCATATCCCCCTCTCTCTCTCTAGTCATATGAGCTTTCTTTACTGTTTACAATAATGATGAACGCGTAATCACAATTATAAACTTCAATAATAATAATAATAATAATAATAATAATAATAATAATAATAATAATAATAATAATAATAATAATAATAACAATAATAATAATAATAAAGTAGATTAACACAGTGATAACGAAATCTATCAGAGTAATAGTAACAATAAAATTCATTTTATACATTTAGTAACACATACACAACCAGAAAAGCAGTCAATTTAGTCAATCATATTTACATTAAATATGCATACAAATGCAAGATGAGTTAAATAGAAGTCATTTTAATAAGTCCGAAAATCACTATTTATGAAAGTAAGACAATTAAATATTTGTGTAATATCCTGTAAATTTCAGAAATGAACCATAGTTTATCATTAGAAAAAAAGAAGAATGTATTCGTAAAATCTCAGCGAATGAATTTGAAGTAAACCCAATGTTTCACCTAGCACTCTGTTCCAAGCTTTCTCAAGGAAATATAATCAAATGTCAAAATTATCGAATATAAATAAGTATATCGATTTTCGGTTAAATGTATTCTAAATAGGTCTTCTAAATACATTCCTCTTCCTTAATGTTTCACATCAACTCGGCGCCCAAACACTGAAATTATGCCATCAGATTTAGATGAAAGTTTTCACATGCTCATTTATCAATGATATTGAGTAATGATATTTATATACTGTATTGGGAATTGATCAAAATTTAAATTGATGATTATGATATTTCACCAGGATTTTTGAATAATATCACCACAAAAATAAGAAAAGAAGAGTTATTAACCATTCAGTTAATGTGTACTTCTGATTGTTATTATCAAAAAGTCATCTCATTTTGCGTTTAAGATTAACTTAAACATCGATGAAGTGATAAAGAGGTCAGTTAAAAAGAATTTAGCTCTAGATAAGGAAAAACCTTTTCTTTGTTTCATTATCTAGAATGATTCTAGTCATCAGTAGGGTTACTACTTACTCTTGAAGAATGATAACGGTAATATGTGAATAACTTGAAGCGGATGTAATTTATACTTTGGTAAGTTTCAAATCAGCATGACCTTTTCAGTTAACATTTCAAAGAAAATAATACATAGTCTAGTCATCCTTTAAAGCACCAAACCTCTATACTTTTTTCTTTGTTACATTTAATTTCCACATTCTTTTGAAAGAATATCCTACGTAAACAGTAGTTTAATAGGTTAAGTCAGAGGTTACTTTCATCTGTCATCGATGTTTATCAATAAAATAACTTATTGTCAATGTTAAAATGCTTCTAACTGGCTAGTCTAAATTATTAAACTCAGTAACAACAATAAAATCTTCTTTCAATCGCGTTGCGCAGTTTAACATTTATGTTTCTGTGAAAGTTTACGAATAAATGATGTACTGAGCTAGTACTGCATTCTTATTAGGAGTTATCCGTAGATTTTTATCCATTCCTTCAGCGATATTTACAACCCAAACATCGATTGATTGGTGGATTTGTTAATCAATAATGTACTTACGGTTAGTTCCATCTGACTAGTATATATATCCATAAGTGGACACACTAAGTTTATATGCTTCGATTCTTTTTTTCTTTTGTACTTAAATCTTCATCATGTGATCTAGAAAGATTTGCGCATAAAATTAATTATTTTACTCTACACCGAAAAGCTAAATGGAAGAGTTGGTTACTAATGATTTTCCTAAAATGTAATTGTACTGTAAATATTCTACTCAAAACTTGATAAGGGTATTATTTTCAACTGGTTGTTTGATGTACTACTAAACTTCTCAATATTTTATTGTAATAAGAATGAAAACTGATTAATTTACGAAATGAATATTGTATAACTACATTTTATCTAGTCTCTTTATTGATGTTGCGTAGTCTGTTAGGTCAGGTTATGTCAAATATTCCTTAGGTAATCTGACATCATGTTTGTAACAATTATTGTTGTGTGTATAAATGTAACTCTATAATTAAGTTTACATTGTTATTGTACACTTTGAACCTGAATCATTTTGTGAAGGTTTTGATACTGAAGTAAATAGGATAAAGTTTTGAAATATTAACACAGTATTGGTGTGTGTCTACTTATACAATATCTACTGGAAGTGGAAACAACTTGAATACTTCAGTGGTATTGTATTTAGCTACGGCATTCCATTTTATTTGTTATAAAACACAAAAAATCATTTTACTTATTCATAGTATGACTGACTTCAAATTAAGTCGATGTAATAAATTACACTGTCTAAGCTCAGTATATTCGTGAATAATGAATGAACTTGACTTTGATCTTAAGAAGTGTGTTTTAGAAGTTTTCGTTGAACAATATTATGCTTAGACGCAGTGTCAGGCAAATCGTGTGATTTACTCAATAAGTTTGTAATTGTGAGCTATTAATTACGTCTGTTACTCCTCGTGGAGTATAGGCTGCCGACCAGGAATCTTCAACCTACTTTGTACTGGGCTCTCCATTCCAGTTGTTCCAAAGTGCTGTCTACTCTTAGTAATTGGCTGTGCAGATTATCATATGCTCACCAGTGACTAGCTTCTAGATGAAATTTCTGGAGATCCACTGAGAGGCCGTGACCAGTGGGGCTAAACCGTGTCGGGTGTGAGGCAGTCACCCACTGCAGAAGATGGGAGATATTCGCTCAGTACCATGAATTGACTGAATTTAGGCAATATAGTCACTGGTTTCTAGTTTATCGATCTGGAAGTTGGGTTTTCGCGCGCGACATCGAAGGTCCTGTGTTCAATTCCCGCGTGGGGGTCGTGAATGCTCACTGCTGAGGGGTCACATACTAATGCGAAATAGTTTTTCATTGCCATGATCTGTGCTTCCAATTCTCAACATAATGTATTCTCTTGGTCTATCTCTTTTCGTTTTACCTTGAGTGTTCCAAGTTAGGGCTTGCTTGGTGATGCAGTTTGATGATTTCGGCAGTGTTTGTTGTAGCTAATTGTAGGTTATGTTTAACATGTATCGAGGCATCGGTTACCATGTTATTCAGTGTCAAGTGTAGCATCCATGACTTGTAACAAGGTTAAGGGTGACCAGAATAAAACATTACACACCAATTCCTAAAGTCATTGAATGTTTATTTAAACCCATGTGATTTCATATAGATGTTTGCAGTCAGTGAGTGAAGATACTCGTTCAAACCACCAAGTGTTCCTGTACTCAAAAGCAATTTGATTTTATCTCTTATTTTAGTCAATTAAATAAAACTAATAACTTATGACATAAAAAATTTCTAATTTAACAATGACAGGATTGTTTTCGATTCATGGTTAGAAGTACGATTATTGGATGTTGAAGCTGCACAACGTGCTGTAGCTACTACTATTTGGTTACGTTCAACAATGCAATGTCTTATGGAATATGAACTTGCAGGTATTTATAACAATCAGTTCAGTTTAGAGATTTCGTAATAAATCAACATGAATTACTTTGAATTTCGGTTAGCTGTAATATTAGCAATCATAATGGTAAAATGTAGTCTGTCACCTACAAGAATGGTGAATTTCATCAACACCTAGTTGTATATATAAAACTAGAGGCTTCAACTAATATTTACTGGCTAATGATACTACCTTCAATTTATTTTAGACCAGGTTAGTCAAACTGGAAATTAGTAGTCAGAAAATGAACTATCGAGGAGATATCAAATTGGTTTTTTCTATATAAGGTTGGATGATGTGAAAATTAATTTATGGTTCATGACTACCTGATATTTTCTGTCAGCTTTGTCTAACTGACTGTAGGGATGTTTCGATATTACTGAGTCAATTAACTACATTAATACCAGCGTGTTACAAAGAGTTAAGGCATACGTAATATGCTTTATTAGTTGTCTTTTTTGTGACCTTAAGAAGTTGTAATCAAGTTATGGGTGAATAATAATTCTTATTGTTTATATTCGACCTTAAATTTTGCATTTTACGTTATTAACATAATACTTCATTATTTGATTTACAATGTTTAATTTCCAGTTGATTGTAAGGAATGATTTTTTTTATAGATAAGTTGATTATATAGGGTCAAGCTGTGATAATAGTGATGATGATCATTCATAGTTTAAATGATCAAACTTATAAGAATGCTTAATATAAAATATCTACATTCCTCTAGACAGAAATGTGACTATTATCGCATCTTAATAGGCATCTTACTCTCATACTGTTAGCTTGTCCACCAGGGTTCTTGCTACCTATGTGGTTTCGCCACAGGGTTTATGGTGTATGCTACTTATATCTGTCAGCATTAATAGCATGTACCACACTGTTGTGCTGTCTAGTTTCTAAACAACCTGCTGGATGAAGTCTAGTTTTCTTGACGACCAATGTAAAATTACCCTCTTACTGGGCAATTTAGTAGTTAAGACTTTGAACTTTCAGTCACCATATAGCTAGCTTCTCTCTGCCTACCTCATTTTAGACAGCAAACTGTCTTTACGTTATTAGTCTTCACACTTACAGTGTGTATCCAATATATATATATATATATATATATATA